GGTATGAGCACAGATATTTAGTGAATTATTGTCAATTACATATTTTTTTTTGTAATTGAATAAAGCAATAATTGAAATCACAATTTCTACATTTATAAATGTATACATACACAGCCCTTTAACTAATTATTATCTTTATTCTGTCCTCTTACAGCGAACTTGGTTTTAGTTCAACAAAACCTAACATGGGTTGAAGCTATAGCCTACTGTAGGAGTAATCATATTGATTTGGTCCACATCTCCACTGAGGATGTTCAATTGAAAGTGGCAGAAAAGGTGAAAAATGCCACAACTCCTCACGTGTGGATCGGTCTCAAATACACATGCCGCTCAAAAAACTGGTTCTGGATCAGGTCAAGCAGCGGGTGCTATCAAAACTGGGCTCCTCAACAAGGCTATGAGGGAAATTACAGCTGTGGAGCGACAGGTGCTATTCAGGCCACTGGGAGGCAGCAGTGGGTAGGCCTGCCACAGACAGAGAAGTTGAATTTCATTTGCTATGGATGTACTGGTTGAAGGAAACCAGATGACAATATGGACAATCTCAACACACTATCAAAAAGTAACCTTTTACTTGCGTAGTTTGTTGGAAAATATGCAATAGGGCAGAATTAATTTGGGCAAAAAATATATATAATTGTGATTTTCCTGATAATAAGAAGACAGAAATACTGAACTGATGAACTAATACGAAAATCCCATAAAGTTCAGAACATGTTTGTTGACATCTAAGCTACAGTTACAACAATTTTTGCCACATATTTTGTAGACCCTAGTATGGAATTGCAATGTTGCCTTATTTTGAGTTGTAGCTTGCTCACCAGTGATGTCACTGCATTGTTCCAGTACAGCTGCTCTACCTATTGTTATGTTTGAATTTCAGTGAATCTGAAAAAGTCATGTGGAGTGTAGGCGTGCACATTCATAGTCACTGGCAGTTAGAGTGATGTGAGAACACTGATCCACTCTACGCCTTTCACTCTAGGTTACTATTTACATGTTGACCCCTCCAGTGGCCTCCCATCACAGTTTGTATGACTCTATGACCTGACCTTCACTAGGATGCCACATGGACCACAAGGCTGTCTGCTGTCCTTTGAACCTTACCCTATTTACATGTACAAGTTAACCTGTTTACTTTAAGGGATACTTACTTTGTAAAAAGTCATGCTCAGGAATGTGAGAAGAATTTTACTTTTATACACTATAATTAACATAATGACCAGCAATAGTAAAATCCTGAATACAATTTTATTTACACTGTCTATAGCTTACTATTCCTCTAATATGTGACCAAATTATTCAAACATAAGCAAAACATAAAATGCTGGTTTTTGGAGTATAAATGACTTATTTGTGCTTCTTAAATAGTTTTTCTTTTTTTTTTTTTTTTTTACTAGTACGATTATATTATGAGGAGACTAATCAGAATTATCAATTAACCAAATCATTTTGACACACCTGTTTGTGTTCATATTATCTCCTTTTAGAGCAATGAACAATCTAACCAGATAGGAGTTGATGTTAGTATTTTGCAAAGGAGGGATTCTGTTTCCTGGTCCCTTGTTATGTGTTTCTATACTAGTTTTTTTTTTGTTTGTTTGTTTGTTCACAAATAAAGAGAAAACTATTTGTGTATCTTGGTTTTAAGCTGATCATTGTTCTTCATATGTTTATAAAAGATGATTCAGGAGTTACTTTGGTGGGAGTCACTAATTACATCATTCACCCCAAATTGTCAAATCTCAAATGGCGCTTTTTGGGAAGATTTAAAGCCATCCTTATTACATGCTACAGGGTTTAAAAAGGAAATTAGATAAGATACCGTAACTATGCTTTGGAAAACAACATTTCAAAATGCTAGACTAAACTATGTGTAAAGCCACTGAAACTGAGCGCAAAGCTTGTAATCCGCAGCTGAATATTGATGACCGTTCCTGCATCCACAATAAAGGCCTGTCACTTGTCAATTACCACGGACCATTACACATGAGTGTGTCATCTCCGGGCCTGCCTGTCAGCCGGCCTCTCATTGGTCAGCCTGCCCACCATCAGTTCAATGTTAAAGTCCCTGGGCCTGACCAGAGGCTCTCAGGACTCACCACCCCCCGCCCTCTTTCTCACCCTCATCTCCTCTTGTGCTGTCCAGCTGCCTCTGACCTTTGACCTTTCACCCTTACTCCTGACCTTTGGGGACATTCCCACGCCACACCCTTTTGTGTACACCTCTCCATGGAAACTTGCTGGACACTCCCACTGCATTTTGAGGTGGTGGGTGTAATTCACTTAAAGAGGGATCAGTGTATCAGTGTTGTAATGCAATCTAATTTGACCAATTCTTACTATAAGTTGAAAACAACAAGCTAGAGCATGGAGTTACAAAAAAAAACTATGCACAACACATTTATAAACACTAGTTTAATGCAACATTCAAACATAATAATTCAGAAGATTTTCAAATGAAGTCTTGCTATAAGACACCAACTTTATTTCCATCATTGTCCATGCCCCTATACTGCTGCCTTAGCAAATATTAGTTTTGAATTGGGTGTCTGCGTACCTGCCATGCGCACTGCAGCCTTTCCCATGCTCCTCTTTTCTTCTTGGAGTGGACAGCCCTCCCTCCTTTCCCTTCTGTCACTTTCACAGTTAATTGTAGAAAAAGAGATTTTCTCCATTGAGGCCGGGTCGCTTAGGTAACCCCACTCCTGCATGAAATGAGATGGATCGAGGGTAGAGACAGAGCGGAGCAAGTGGACAAGACAAACTGAACTGAGCAGCGCTTGAGGACAGACACATTGAGCTGTGGACTAAACTTTACAACTTCAGAGATACAGCGTTTTTCTTTTTTGTTTGTTTGTTCCATTTGGCATTACTGGGAGCATAACTACAAATCTGGAATTGTGCAAAAAGTAAGTATTTCTTACAAGATGCATTTCAATAAAATAAAAAAAAAATTCCTCTCCTTGCTACTTAAAAAAAAAAAATATATATATATATATATATATATATATATATATATATATATATATATATATATATATATATATATATATATATATATATATATATATATAGTTTGTTTGTTTTTTTTTCAGGATTTTCTCCAGAATAGATTTGTGATCTGATAGTGACTCAGGAGCTGATTGTCCAAACGCAATTCTTGTTTTTGTTCACCTTCTTCAGGAGTTGTGGATGGACATCAGGCCCCTGGTTCTCATTGGCTTCTGTTGAGAAAACGAAAGGCCTGATTTTTTTTTTTACCAGAGAAGAACAGAGCACCAGAAAAGTCCATCAGCATTTGGCATCTAATACACCATGATTTGCCATTTTGATTTCACTTTTGAACATAAAGGTAGACTGGCATTTTTTATTTTTTTTTACAGTACTACAGTGTGAATGAAAATGTGGTTCTGCTAATGTGTGTGACAGTGCAAGAGACCATTTATGTTGTCTTCTAACTTAATTAACTATTCTTATCTTATTAATAACCTTTAATGTTACTGTTATTGACACTGGTTAATTTCACATCCTAAAGCTAAGCTCACATTTCTTCTATAAATATATGTTAAGGAGATATAAGTAACTCAATATAAGTGGGTGCACTCATTTGCTTGCTATCTTTTAAATGGACATTGCAGAAGACAGAACAATACTAATACTAACATTGTCCATCACATATATCAACTAAATTAAACTTTCCCACCTATTTTTGGTAGTTAATATTTCTTTCTTTGCAGAGTAGCTAGAATACAATATATACAATATACACAATGAGACAAATGGAGTTCTACATTATTTTGCATTCAAAACTGATTTTTACTAAGACAAAGAATAAACAACAACAACAACAAAACTGTCTAATTGCTTCAATCTTCTCCTAAAGTCAGCTACTATATTTCTCCACTACTACAAAAAATACAAAATACCAAGCCAAAAAAAAAAAAAAGGTCAATCTGGTAAATTGGTATAAAGTTGATATCAAAGTTGATTAAATTGTTTGCTCTAGAAGAAACCAGAAATTTGGAAATTGGTCATCTGTTACTTGATGGTATGTAATGAATAAAAAATTGTCATTAAAAAGTTTTAAAAGAAGGAACTTTTTTGTTTGTTTTTTACTTTATTGACTTTGTAAGATGCATCTGGAAAAGTCATACTGGTCTGTTTCACGATAAATTACCACTATGATTGGTACTTGTGGCAGTGAGTGGCTTGCACTATTGTTGCTGGGGACTCTAGTTTATCACATCAGTCGAAACATGCACAATAGGACTGACCAATATAGTCCCGATCAACCAGCTCAACAACTGGAGATGGGACCCTGGGTGCTGCTCTTCAGTCTCCCACTGCTTGTGATACTTGTGGATGGGTCAAATGCAGACACAGGAAAACTGCAGATTTCAGCTGTCCCTTACAGGAATAAGAAGAACATGGATGAATATGTAATTTAAACAAACAAGTTATAAAACTTCAATTTATATAGCTGACTTGGCACAATGAAAATGTAAGTTTGTGTACATGTTTTGTCTGTTTGTGAGCAAAGAGCCAACAGCAAACAGTGACCCCTCCTCCCTTTAACAAATACGATTTCTTGTAAATCACATGATTTGGGGGAAATGAAGAAGACAAGCAGTTGCCAAAATAGCTCACTTATTGTGCAATGTATTTTAATATACTCCAATGCCAAATGATTTTGTACCAAAATTCTGAAAAAATATGAATGCATGTAATGTGGTGATTATATAATATGTATGTGGTAAATACACTGTTAACAATAATAATTTCTTTGGACAATGTATTTTTATTCAATTTATAAATTATAATGACACACTTTCTAACCTTAACCCTAATACAAGGAAAAAGTCCTAAGCTTATGGTACACAAACTGTTTTAAATTGGTTACACAATTGAGAACATTTTTTTCTGTATAAAGGACTTGGGCCAAAACAGAACTGGGAGGGGTTGGAAAGTGTCTGTGAGAGGATTGAGAAATAAAGGCTGGACTGCTTATAAAAACCGGGTGCAAATCTGGAATATCAGAGGAGACAAACAAGGAAGAATGATGCTCCTGCTTCTGTCTGCTCTGCTGCTGGGCGTGGCCGTGGACGCCTCACCTGACAACAGGTAACACACTCATACATGCACACTACACATTAAGGTCAAAGGTGATAACAAGCATTTCATGTTTATTCAGATTCTTCATCTCAGCTCCAAATGTGTTCCATGTGGGAGTGAAAGAGAAAGTCTTTATACAGACGGGCAAAAACCATCTAAACAGAAATCTCATGGTTTACTTGGCGAGTGAGAGTGAAGATTCTTATTTGTCAGATATAGTGCATGTTACATGTACAAAGGAAGAGAAGGGGGAGATAGTGGAGCTGATGGTAAAACACTACGATATATTTGACCATTTAAAATGATTAGACTGATGCTATTTTAAACTATGCTTACAGTTAGACCAAACTAGGCTCCGCAATCTGAGACCTGCTGTGATACCTATGTATGTCAATGTGGTGGTACAAGGCCTTTCCGGGGGCCAACGCCACTCAACCAAGGTACTGCTCTCCATGCACAGAGGCTACATTTTTATTCAGACTGACCAGCCTCTATACAAGCCAATGGACACAGGTACAGTCTTCATCATCATTTGCATAAAGACAAGTTCATTTTGTTAAGAGTTATGTTTCCCCTGTAGTCAAATTCAGGATATTTACTCTTGACCACACATTCAGGCCATCAGATGGAGTTTTTCACCTGTTATTGTATGTAAGTATCTTTTCTCTGCAAAATAATAAGTTTAATTTATTTCGAACTAGAAATAGAGCAGTTGTGTTCAAACCAATATATTGACCGATACTGGCCTATATTTGCACTGTGTAGAGCAGGGGTGCTCACACTTTTTTAGCATGCGAGCTACTTACAAAATGACCAAGTCATAAAGATCTACCTAATACAAAGCCAAGCAAACTGCACTGAAACACTCTGTGCCCCTTTTTTGGACCCTCACCCACAGTTTGAGAACCACTTCTTTAAGAGAACTTCCTCTGGCACTTTACACAAAACTGTGAAAAAAGTGAAGGAAGATTTTTAAACCTGTTTTTTAAAGTTCCAATTCTTTTCTGGTTTTGCAGTGATATTTACCAGCCTCTGCACATTTACCAAACCAAACGCACATCGTGACAAACACAGATGCATTTCTGCACTTTTGTTAGACAAACTTCAGCCAAATGTGGCAGTAGGTCTGTTCTGTAGATCTGCTCTATGCTGTAGACCTGCTTTGTGCCAACACTGCAACACAAATTTAGACTCGTTTTTGCTTCACGTTTGGTCTTGCTCTTCTAATCAGCCGCACTGTGGGAGGGGCTTGTGTTCGCTGTACGCAGGAAGGAGCGAGAGCGTGAAAAGGCGAGGGGCGGCGTGCTGACGTGAGGCAGGTGGACAGGTAGGATGTTTAGGAAGTTTAACCTGCCCTGTGATGCACGCTGGTACACGAGGGCACACGCTGTTGCAGACGAGCCGTGCATAGGGAGCGTGTGTATTTGTGATGTGCCGTAGAGTCTCCGCGGGCTGCACTGAGCGCACAGGCTGCACTGAGACGCCCCACACTCTCCTGCACCCCGCTATAAGTTTACTGCCAACAGCAGCGGCCGTAATGAAATATGATCACACTTGTTGAGTGTCAGACCTTGAGTGAGAGACAAGACCGAGTCCAAACGCGAGTCCGAGACGAGACACGGCGATCTACCCACACGACCTTGGCGATCGACTGGTAGATCGCGATCGACGTATTGAGCACCCCTGGTTTAGAGAATATTTTTGGCCAAAACACCACAAAATGTGCTCGGCTTCAAAATATCTGTAGAGCTTATCGGCTGACCTGGATCTGCATCAACCATCAAAAACCCATATAGGTCAATCTCAAATTTGTATATATTTCTGAAAATTGAGAATTCGTTGCCCTTTCAGAAAATCCAACTAATTTCTCAAAATGTATTCACAATGGAAATATTAACTACTTAATGGCTTTATTTTTGCAGAATGCTGCTGGCAATAGAGCACTGAAAGCAATGTACACTACGAAGGGAGGCCTATTTGAAAACCATTTTGTCCTCCCAGATGTGGCTAAGTAAGTGTTACTGAAGGCATGAGTCAGCCTGACCTCAGCACAGTTAATAGTGAATGTGTAGTAGTGTGAGTATCAGTTACGATTGGGCTTTTTGAATATCCTGGTTATGTGTGAGTGTCCATGTAGACACACTATCCTGATTTCAGTATTCTGGATATGCCAGGTATGAGAAATCAGGATTCTCTTACTGGGTTTTTCAGATGGTATCCAGGATACTGTGGTATGTAGCTGCAGTATCCTGATTTCTCAAAACTGGTGCTGTACTGAGCATGTGCAAACTAAAATAACAGATATGATAGGAGCAGTTACTTTCCCAAAACGACTCAAACTCCAACCAGAATTTTTAAAGTAGTAATAAGTCAAAAGTTGTACTTGCCAACAAAATAAAGCAGTCTACTCTTTAACACAGCCAATGTGAACACCAGGCTCACTTTTGTGGCTGTTTGTGTTGATCTTGAAAGAAACTGAGCTGTGACACTGTGTTGTATTTTTTTCTGTTAAAAACGACTTTTACTGAAGTGGTAACTATGCCATAGATACCACAGCAACCAGTCTAAATATCCAGGATACTCTAACGGCGCACGTACACAGGGATATGAGTATGGTGGTTTCTCTGAGAGCATGTAAACACCATATCAAGAATACTGTCATAATCGGGATAAGGCTAATAACTGGGATAATAGTGAGCATGTAAACAAACTCAGTGTGTATGTTTAAAGAACAGGCATGTGGAAGATTGTGGCACACTATGAAGGGGATAGAGATCATGCTGTTTCCAAAGAGTTTAAAGTTCAAAAGTTTGGTGAGCTATAATTTTCATTGTTTACTTTCATATAAAACAAACCTCAAAACAATTTTATATTTTACTGTACATTTTTATATATTTTACAGTGATGCCAAGTTTTGATGTGAACATTCAAATGGAGAATAAGTATATTTTAGTCAGTGCTAAAGAAGAAGAAATAAACTTCAGAATCTTGGCAAGGTAACCTTTTTGTGAAGACACATAATGTAGTGCAATTAATGTTTTAGTGTTAGTATTTTGAGAGGAAATCAGGCATAGAAGTGGAGATTTACCATTGCATGTTTCAGGTATACACATGCACACCCAGTGAACGGAGCCTACCACTGTCAGTTTGGAACAATTCAACAAGAATCAAATGGAAACCCAAGCTTGATTATGGGCATGGAGCAGGCTGGATCTGTGAGACACTACAGCAGCCCACATTTGACACATAAAAAATAGCTTTTGTAAAGAATATATTACTTTTGCACAGGTTAAGGATGGAACAGCATCAGTTTCAGTGAATATCGCAAAATTAAGCCAAAAAATACTAAACCAGAAGAACCTCACCTTGTCGGACTTAGAGGGTCACGGGCTACTTCTGTATTTGGGAGTACTTGTCACTGACATACAAAGTAACACACTCTGTTACTGTTATACTTTTATAAATTCTGTTCAGCCTGATGCTAACTAGTGAAATCTGTTAACTGTTTGTTTTTGCAGATGGTGAAATTCAACAGCGACATATATCTTTACCTGTAGTGTCTCACAAATACAGGATTGACCTTTCAAGAACTGGCTCTTATTTCAAATCTGGATTTCCATTTAATGTGGCAGTAAGTTTCAGTAATGACATCAGTACACCTTTCAAAAACAAGTTCATGTATGAAGGCCTGTCACAATATGACATTTTTAAATGTCATATATTGGTGAAGAAAATGTAGATGATAAACTATAATATTTAAATTAATTTATACCACTGACACAATAATCAAAAATCAGGATTATACTCAAAAACTATTCTAAAAACATAAGCTGCAATTAATAAATGGTAGAATGAAACACTTTAGCAGTGAGTTTGTATATATGAGTCATAAAAAGTATTCATTCAAACTCTACAGCTCATAATACATCGTAGTGCAGAAAAATACCAAAAAGTTCATATATTGAAAGATAAGTCAATAATTATTGTGACAGGCCTAAATGTATGTTTCATTATTTCTTTATTTTTGTGTTTTGTGTGTTTGTATTAGGCGCTGGTTCGTCTGCCAGACGGCTCTCCTGCAGAGAAAGTGCCAGTAACAATGACATTAATGGATCAAACAGGGCAAAGTACAACTAACCTGCAGGGGGCAGTGTTTTATACATTTAATGCTGTGTCCAGGACGGAAGCGACTCTTACAGTAAACAGGCTCATGATCCAGACAGATAACTTAATGCTAAATGAAGCTCAGTTTCATTTTTCCTGTTTGTCTTTTTTCTAACAGGTGTCTGTAGATGACAGCCGTGTATCCAAAGTTATAAAAGCTGCTGAATCTCAAGTTGACCTCTACCTGGCTGTAGAACATAAAGAGTACACAGTTGGAGATGAACTAAAAGTGACGTTTGTGACTAAAAACCCTCCACAGACTGGGTTTATACATTTCCTGGTATGACCAGCCTCTGTAACAGAGCTCCATCAGTCAGCATTTATGACTGAATCCTCTGTGCTGTAGGTGCTGAGCCGAGGATCTATAGTCCAGACGGGTCATATGAACATGGGAGGATCACTCACACGCACCCTGCAGATATCAGAAAACATGGTGCCATCCTTCCGTCTGATTGGCTACTTCTACACTCAAAACAATGACATCATCAGTGACTCTGTGTGGCTGGCTGCCAAAGACAATTGTGAGGACAAAGTGATGGTAAGAAAAAAAAACACTGACAAATGCATCATCAGTGTGTGAATATAATGTCATCTACAAACCAGCTGACAGCATGCTGCCAATGTGTCTTTGGGCAAGACACTTTACACCCCGCACCTCTGCATGAATGTTGTGTGAGTAATTGCTCTGGGTATATCTGTTTTAGATAACAGTTAAAGGAAACATTGAACCACGACGTCTGTCAATGATAGATATTGATTTGAATGGGCAAGAAGCCACAGTGGCTCTGCTGGCAGTGGACACAGCTTTCCATAGCCTTAATGCAGATAACAAACTCACTCAGGAGCAGGTAACTCTACCTTCCCAATCAGTTAGTTAAAGTCTAGGCTAAACAGAAACAGAGAACATTTGTTTGGTTCAACAGGTGTACTCCTCAATGGAGGCCTATGACCTGGGCTGTTCATATGGTCGAGGACAAGATCCTGACTCTACTATGTTAGAAGCCGGATTGGCATTTGCAATCCAGCCTCGCGCCGTTTGGAGAACAGGTACGAGTGATTAAGACAAAATACAGATGTAATCTCTGTAATTGAATTCTGAATGTAATATTTATGCAATATAACTAAATAAACAAAAAAAAATTGTCTTGCTTTTAGACTTGAATTGCCATTCCAGAGTACGACAAAAGCGATCTGTGGACCTTGAACAAGAAATGATGGCATTAAGTACACAGTATATGCGGTTTATCAATTCATATTTCCTCAGTACAAGTTTACCATTACAAATTATGTTTTTGCATTTTATTTTCAGAATCCAAGTATGAAGGAGAGGATTTGCAAAGCTGTTGTGCTCGTGGGTTCCTTCTTATCCCTATGCAATGGTCATGTGAGGAGAGGGTTAATAGGGTCCTTGAGCTCCAGGGGAACACCTCCTGTACTCAGGCCTTCAAGGACTGCTGCCTGGAGGGGCAGCGCCTGAGAGAGCAGAGGGCCAAAGAGGAGGCTAAGAAAGGACTGTCCAGAAGTGAGTCCTGCTCTTTAAATTACATTATCCAATCATAACCATACGACAAGTAACAGGAGCTTTGTCCTCTCTATTAAAGCTGCAAGTTTACTGGAAATTGAAGAGTACTTCCTGAACACAGACAATTCATTCATCAGGAAATTTTTCTCCTCTTCATTTGCTTTCAAATCATTTCCTGTGAAGGGCAAAATAAGGTAAGGCAGTAACCTCCATATATATAAAGTACAGGGGATAATATAAAATAAGACCCAGTCAACCAAATACTTTTTTGATAAAACCAGAATGATGTGGGATGTTCTGGTGGTTCCTGTTAAAAGCCAGAAAACAATTTGAAGTTTGTCTTTGTGAAGTAATTAAAAGGCAATGAAAGTTACAATTTCATAATAATTGTAATGTCCACAATAATTATTTTTTACCTTAAATCTTAAAAGCTATAACCTAGGTATGCCCGATTCTATCACCACATGGGAGCTTCAGGTCGTCACTTTGTCCAGATCATCAGGTGACAGCACCTTTTCTACTCTCTATGACTCTATGACTCTATACAATACACTATATTATTTCAAGACCAAAATTTCTCACAGGAAAAAAAAATTATACTCTGATATTACAACTAAATAACAAGTACAAATTAAGCTGATTTAACTCCACTCCACTGTCTGAATTACAGGTTTGTGTGTCCCAAAGCCAACTCTCCTGAGGGCGTTTAAACCAGCTTTTGTGTCTCTGAGACTTCCTACAGTCAGGAAGTATGAACAAATGTATATTGCTCCAGTGATTTACAACTATGGTACTGATGCTGACCTTCATGTAAGTGAAAGAGTGAAAGAGAGATTGTATTTGCATGCTTTCTGTTATAGCATGAGGCAATGCTTCTTTAAGACACACTTTTAATTACTGTCATTTCACACGATAGTTTGAACAGCACTGTGTCTGAGTGACTAGCACTCCTGCCTCAAAGCCAGAAGGTCACGGGTTTGACTCCTGCCTGGGTCCTTCTGTATGGAGTTTATATGTTCTGTAAGTTCTGTCGTTGCCTTAGGCAAGACACTTACCACCACCCAGTACATTGTGAATGAATAAAGACTTCAGTGTAGCATTTTTGAGGGGCAACAAGCCTGAAAAAGCGTATTATTATTATTATTATATTATTATTATTATTATTATGTTTCTTCTGATGTCTGGGCGGATCAAGATTTGATCATGTATTATTTAAAATGGTTGGACCTTGATTTGATTCAATCTCTGTGAATCGCACATAATACATATTAGTCTAGGACCAAGACCTCCCCACCGAGATTATTTTGCTACTTTCTTGTTACTATTATTAATCATTAGTGTACACCTTGAGCCATTACGAGTTTGTGTTGTTTTCTTTCAACTCAGCCCTGTTCAGTCTGAAGATTCTCAGAGCCCCTTTTGTGTGACCCACCTTGTGCAAAATTATATGATTCATAAACATTTTTGCTATATTGGCATCCACTGTCACATAATCATGACATTTGGACCAAAAATTGCATTCATACATGGAATGATAAATAGAAATAGAAAATAGTAAATAGAAAACTTCCCCAGCCCAAGATGAGCTTGTGTCCCCAACAGATCACCTCAGACATGTTCACTGCATTTGAACATAAAAAATAAGGACGCTAGCTGCTAGCATTCATGCCCTATTAAGGGTTTTATAGCAGATTGCCCCACCGTAGAAAACATAGGGTTATCATAGAAATGATAAATAATATGCTACACAGCCACAAACAGTTAAAGTCTATGACGGGAAGTTATTATTTTTAGTTTCTTAGTTATTCTTAGTTATTATTTATTCTCAGTCTGATTTTGACCATGCTCCTCTTTTAAACTTGCCTAAAACTCCAACATTTTAAAATATATAAGACTCAAATTTCACTTATATAATATTTCATATATAAATATGAATTGTGCCAAGTTTGAATAAAATCCATGAAAGTTACGTTGAATTTGTATCCTGAAATTTGCATATACATTCTATGGCCAAACTTTCTCCATCCGTTTGGGGGGTATGGAACATTATTTCTGTTATAGCAGGTGTTGGAGACCAGAGCTCATCTTGGGCTTAATATGAAGCTGACAAATTGATGATATTTTTACATATGAAACTGTAATTTCATGCTGATGTGTCACAGTCAGTTTGTGGAGAGGATATGTCCTTGAGAATGCATTTCTTTTCTATAAATGGTCTAATAATTGTAAATCATGTCAGTATTCTTTGTTCCAAATTTCATGACTATATGACAGTGTATAAGACTATAGCACCTCATTTAATAGACTCATATCATTTAGCACAAGGTGGGTCTCACAAAATGGATTTTGGGGGTCCTGAGACCAAACAGGGAAAAATATCCCAAACTCGCAATGGCTCAAGGTGTACACTCATGAAAAATAATAGTAAGAAAAAGGTAGCAAAAATACTCGCAGTGGAGAGATCTGTCTCCTGAACTAAACATGTAAATATCTCTTATAACATAACACATGGCTGTAAATCTATTTATTAATGTTATTATAACAAGTGGCAGTACATACGTAACTATACATTATTTATTGTAACAGGTGGCAGTGCACATGTCCCAGAGTGAAGGACTTTGTTCTCCAGGCTCAGCCACCTTGATGTCGTTTGTAAACGTTACCGTGGGCCCAGGGTCTTCACAGACAGTCACATTTTCTGCTGTCCCAATGAGAAGTGGCTCAATACCTATTCAAATACGCCTGTATGACATCAGAGAAAGGTCAGAAATAGATGGCATTGAGAAGACTTTGAATGTATTGGTAAGTGTAAATGTTTTCCTCTTTGTGTGTATTGAGGTTTACTGTCTGTTTAGTCTGTGGTTTTAAATGTTCTAAACAAATACATTTAACTTGACGAAGTGGCAAAACATACTGTGGTTGTATAGCTAACACTAGTATATTTACAAACATCTTTATTAATGTGAATTGTTCCTTATCAAAAATTGGTTACTGGTTATTAAAATAACAAAATAATAAATAAACTAACCCTGTAACACAAGGCGCACTCGTACTGTTCTCAAAAGTGATTTTGGTGTGAGTTTGTTAGGAGATCTTAGGCGCTCTAGAGCAGGGGTCTCCAACCTGTAGCTTGGGAGCTACCAGTAACTCTCCACCCCCTTCCAAGTAGCTCGCCAAGGAATTTCTGAATTCTATGTATTGTGGATAATAAGTAAACTTTGATTAATTTCCATTGTAAATGTATCATTTTGATGCCTAACTTGGTGCACCAATAAATGGATAATGGTTTATGTTTTATAAGCATCTAACTATTCCTCATTTAAGACTTGCTGTGGCTCTTATATTTATTCAGTTTCTTGGCAACTGCTGAAATTGGTAGCTCTCTGGCATTTTTGTTTCATAAAGGCAGCTCACTGGAGAAAAAGGTTGGAGACTCCTGCTCTTGAGCCTGTAGTAGCACTGTATTGGATTGGTGTTCATCTCAAGCAGAGCACCAGGACACTGTGTTTTATTTATTTTATTTTTTGTAGACAGAGGGAGTTGAAAAGACTGAAGAAGAAACAACAATAATACATTTAAATGGTTTGTGATTTTTTGTTTTTATTTTAGTGTGTTGTGTTTTTCTCTTAATTCATTCACAAAATAATTTTATTTTTATTTTCAAAGGGACAAATGATTTGAACCGTAAACTTGATGGAAAGTTACCAGATGACACAGTCCCTGGTTCTATATCCAATATTTTCATTTCAGTTGAGGGTATGTCATTCAAACATTCATGTGTGAGTGACTCTTTGCACTTAAATAATATCTGTCTTTTACAGAGGATGGATTTAGCAGATCACGTGTGAGGAACCTCATTGATCCAGAAAAAGCAATTAAACTCATTAAACTGCCCAATGGCTGTTTGGAGCAGACAACTAGGACTCTCACTCCAACAGCTGTGGCTGTGCGCTACCTGGATATGAGTGATCAGTGGTTCACCATGCCTCCCAGAGCCCGAGATGATGCAGTTAGTTACATTGGGAAAGGTAAAACAAAACAAATCTATTAATATATCATGAAGAGCTATAGTACATACTATTGTATTTCATTCTGAGCTGTTGCATTGAAATGTTATAATACACAAAGCGAAAAGTGTGTTATAAAATGATTTATATTGGATGTCTGTGAGTTTAGTGATCAGTATGGTGGTATCATCAAATAATGTGTTATCCAATACCCATTTTAAATATTCAACATAATTTTTCCTCATACACTTTTCAGGTGTTGCTAGAATTACACAGTTACTAAGGGAAAACAAAACACCGGGGGCTTATGGGTTATGGCCCAGGCATCGACCCAGCACCTGGTAGGATATGTCTTCTCATGATCATTCTATATAATATAATAAATATAATACAATACAATACAATACAATGTATAATATACAATATATAAACTATGCTATTTTGCTGTTTTACAGGTTAACCTCCCATGTGGTGAAAGTTCTGTCAATGCTGGCGAAACGGCAGCTGTTCACTTATGATCAAGAGGGAAGAAAGAGTATAAACGCACCAACACAGGAAATTACAGAAGGAGTCAGATATCTGAGCTCTAAACAGGAAACAGATGGTTCATTCGGTGATGCAAATCCTGTTCTACATAGAGGCATCTTGGTAAACTGAAATTAAAACTATGTGTCCACACATAGTCGGAAAACTTTGTTACCTGTTTATTTTATTTTAGACAGGTGTAGACAGCAAGGCATCCATGACAGCCTTTGCTACTCTAGCATTATCCCATGCTCTTGATTTATTGGAGGAACCAGACAAGAGTTCTACGGTACAATAATGTTTACTGAATATAAACCCAGTGAAGCATGATGAATAATACTGATGATCTCATACCAGGAAACTGTCATATCAAAAGCAACACAATATCTTTGGTCAAACTTTAACCAACTGAAACATCCATTAGCCATTGCCATCACAGCATACTCCCTCGCAGAACATAAAGAGTATGCACCAGAGGTCAGACGCACTATTAACTGGGCAAAATTTGAAACTACAGGTAACCAATCAATCAGTAATGCATAAATTAAAACAGTGTGTTCATTTATAACTGTTAAATTTGTTTAATTTATTTTACAGACAAGGCTGCAATCACAGTAGAGGCCACAGCATATGCGTTGCTGACTGCAGTGGCCCTCAAAGAAGTTCAACAAGCACATAAATTAGCACATTGGTTAAGCACACAAGAAAATTACTTTGATGGCTTCTACTCCTCACAGGTGCAGAGAAAATACAAATGGCTTTATAGTTTTCATTGATTGCATATGGTCTGAAAGTGATCTCTGTCTTTGTAGGATACTTTAGTAGCTTTGGAGGCTCTTTCAGAATATGAAATGATGGTACCAACCACATCTGAAACAAATGTTGAAGCAGTATTCAGAGTTCAAGGTAAAAATCATGTTGAAAAGTTACATATGGACAACAAAGAGAAGGTGGAAAAGGACCTAAAGGTATACAGCAACAAGGATTAAAATCCAGCTTTTTAGGAAAAATATATAATTACTTTTCTTTATTATTTATCATAGCGCTTTGTTGGGAATGATATTATAGCAGTATTCAAGGGATACGGAAAAGCCAAAGTTAAAGTGAGTTTAGTAGAAAAATCATCTGTGTATTCATTTGAAAAAAAGACAAATGATTGTTGTGTGTGTAGGTTATGAAAGTGTTCCATCTGATGGAGCCAAAAGACATTTGTGATAAACTGTCGCTTGAAGTGAAAGTGGAGGGGAAAGTCAAGTACACTGGTAAGAAACTTTGAACCAAAACAAATAGCACAAACCTAAAAAACACGGCCCTGATTCTCAGTCCTGAATCCACAGCTCCAATCCTAGATAATTATGAATATTATGATGACGACAATACAGAACAAAGTGATTACAGCCGAGTGCGTCGTTCAGCCATTGAGTGGTTTGATATTCGCACACGCAGGCGAAGAGAAGTGATCGGTGATCAAGATGTCACTTATGAAGTTTGTGTCATGTTAGTATAGTTACAGTACTAGGCATGAGTGAGATAATAAATGAAACTGTATTGAAAATCTTGTAATGTTCCAGGCATAGCCCCAGCTATAATCTCACAGGAATGGCCATTATTGACCTTACACTCCTGAGTGGGTTTGAGGCTGACGCAAACGACCTGGAAACTGTAAGTGTCTCAGCTCCTTACAATATATTACAATAATAACTATGATTATTTTTAAAAATTGAAAAAGAAATTATATCAAACTGTTTTAGCTTACAGCTCCACCAGAACAGTACATCTCCCACTATGAACTGTCACCTGGTAAAGTTCTGATCTACCTGAATCAGGTAAAGACTACAATATAGTCTGTGAACTGCTAATTAAAACACACTTAAAAACACTCACACTTGTTTACAGCTCGTCAGACAAAAGCAGTGTTTCCAGTTCGATGCTAAACAGTTGTACACAGTTGGCCTTCTGCAGCCTGCACCTGCAGTCTTTTATGACTATTATGAGCCAGGTCAGTGCCTGAGTGCTAGTCAGTTTTGCCAAGATGTTATTTCTGCAACTGAAAATGCTTCGTGATATCTTTTGTGACCCCCATGTGCTTGTATGTATTTTTGACAACGTTGTGGCATGCTCCTAATGAGATAATGGATGGAGTCTTGTGGGATGTTTTCCCAAATCTGGGCTTCACTGAGCTCCTGTAGAGTCTGAGGAGCAACCTGGCAGGGTTTGATGGATCCAAACATAATGCCTCAGAGGTGTTCAATCGGGTTTAAATCAGGTGAACGTGAGGGCCATTCAAGTGTATCAATCCCTTCATCCTCCAGGTACTGCCTGCAGACTCTTGCCACATGAGGCCGGGCAATGTTGTGCATCAGGAGGAACCCAGGACCTACTGCACCAGAATGATGTCTGGAAATGGGTTCACAGATTTCATTCTGATACCTTATGGCAGTCAGACTGCTGTTTTCCAGCCGGTAGAGGTCTGTGCGTCTCTCCACGGATATGCCTCAACAGACCATCACTGACCCAACACCAAACTGCTCATACTGAACCATGTTGCAGGCAACATGGCGTTCTCCTTGCCTTCTCTAGACTCTTTCACTTTTTATCAGTGCTCAGGTGCTCGTGAGCTGCTCTCATCTGTGAAAAGCACAGAGCACCAGTGGCAGACTTGCCAATTCTGGTGTCATCTAGTAAATACCAATCAAACTCCTCGGTACTGGCATAGGGCCCACCACAGGATGTTGCACCCTCATGAAGTCCATTTCTGATTGTTTGGGCAGAGATATTCACACCTGCTGGAAGTCATCCTGCATGGCACCGGCAGTGTTCAGCCTATTCCTCCTTGCACAAAGCAGCAGATATAGGTCCTACTGATGGGTTGAGGACAATCTTCGGCCCTGTCTGTCTCTTAAAATCTCCTCCATGTTCTGGAGATTGTGCTGGGATACACATTAAATCTCCTTGCAACGGCACGTCCGGATGTGCCATGGATTATTTGTGCAGCTTCTGTAGGTTTAAGGAACGGCCTCATACTCCCAGTAGTGATAATCACCCTAGTCAAAGCCAGCACTAGTTGAAAACCAGGCCAAAAGGCCAAGAATGAGAAACATGAAATGACCTCCACATGCGAACCCAGACCAGTTTTATTTAATTTTTTTGTCTCATCGTTGGCACTCTAGTGCACCTGTTGTTCATTTCCATTAAAAGAGGTGGCATCCTTTGGTTCATAACACATTGCCTTGTCCATATTTGTATAGATATCCAACTTTTTTGAGATCTGATGTGTTTTCAAAGTGTTCCTTAAATTATTATTATTTTTGAAGCTATATATATATATATATATATATATATATATATATAGTATACAGAGTGTCATATACTAATGATGGTTTGGTGCAGGTCAGAAGTGTACAGTGTTCTACTCAGCACCAAGGAGAAGCCAGGTGATCTCCAAGCTGTGTTCGGGGGATGTGTGCCAGTGCGCAGAAAGTCTGTTGAACTGTGAAATACAATATCAGATGTCTTGTTTTTACTTATATTGACAATGTCTGATGACTCTGTCTAAGGGCCTTGTCACAAAATAAGAAATACATTCAGGCACGCTGAAGAAGACCGTGCGATCACTATGGACGACCGCCAAAACCACGCCTGCTTCTACCCTCTTGTGGATTATGGTCAGCACACTGTCAGTTAAACTAGCTTTCAATAATGCTGTATTGACACTGGCTTCTCTCTTTTTCATTAGCATACATGGTGACTGTCACAGAATGTTCTGAGAAAAACAACTTTGAACTGTACAAATCCACTGTGACTGATGTGTTGAAAATCAGTAAGTAAAAAGGCCTTACAGACAGTACTTCTCAGATTTATGTTGTTAGTAGTATAAGTATTCAATTTGCCTTTTTAGAGGGTGACCATGATGTGAAGATTGGCTCTCATCGAGTGTTTGCCAAAAGAAGACATTGTAAAAGCAGTTTAGAAGCAGGAATGGAGTACCTCATTATGGGAAAAGATGGCACCACTACTGACGCTCACGGGAAGTAAGTATTAGTCAGCATTAGGTCTTCTATCATCAACAATAATGGCCTAATGTGACCTAATTTTCTGACATTGTAGGAAACAGTATCTTTTGGACGTGAACACTTGGGTTGAACCAAAACCGTTTGATTGTGACAGCAGTGACAATGAAAATGCATGCAATGACTTTACAAATTTTGTGGAAGACTTCAAGATTAACTCATGCAAACAGTGAATAAAATATTCATTTATTTTGCTAAAAAAAATACATCTGTTCTTCAAAATGTATCCATTCTTAAAGTAGTAATTGTTATCAGTACCTTATAAATGGAATAAATAAAATACACATTATTTCATAAACTGGCATTAAAGATGGACACAGTTCTTTAACACATCCAATCACACAAAATCTGAGAAAATAGTCCATATATAAACAGTCTTATCTAAATACCATGATTCACTTTGGTGTGCAGCTTTGGTATTTTCGCTGAATTTCGTTTTCGTTTTTTTATTTTTTATTATTTTTTTTTCACCTGAGAGGGTGCTCTGTACTCCACACAGCCCCCTTAAGGCTACCCCTCCTCTTTCTTCAACATCTGCTGCGTAAGGAGGGAGAGTTTGTGATCTGGAGTGGTCCAGCACATAAGACTAATTAACGAAAAGTATTTACACTGACTGAAGATGATAGAAAAGTACTTAGTGTGTCATTATGAATACATGCATGAAGATATGGGTCATTATGTAACGTGTGACAAGTTAAAGGTGAGGAAAGATGGAGCGGGTGAGTGGGAGGGGGCTGAGGCGAGGGGGGTATGTGGGCTGGAGGGGGAGGAGTGGAACAAGTGAGAGCTTATGCACTTATATTATTCTAATCTCTGAGGCCTGGCCTAATGTAAGCAACACAGGGAGTACTGACGCTCACTTCAATCATAACCGTATCAATGGCCACAGTGTCGCTGGTTTTGCTATTAGACAGTTCATTAAACATAAATCAATAAGGGCCAGATATATAGACCTGACTTGGACTACGGACATAATCCCCATCAGCTGCCAACAGAAACATTGTGATTTAATAAGGGATCTTATTTGTACCACATCTGTATCCTTTCATTCAAACGCTTGGTATGATGACCAAATTTGTCTCAAAATGAGCAAACAGTTAACACTATCCTTGGGAATATGCGCTACATGAGTTAAATAGATTGTGGATTGTAAAATTTCAACCACATCTAAGGCAATCTTAATTACAAATAGAACTAAAAGTGGTCAGTAACTCAGCATGTTAATCAGACAAGATAACAGAACAGGGTTGTACATGTCAACAAGTTGCAATAGAAAAGCACCACACAGTAGATAATAGTAGTAGTATTGAATCTAGAGTTGAATATAAAAGTAGCTAACAATCACAATATTATTTGGGTTCTTAATGTTGTGAAAGATTTGTGTAATATATTGGTGAAATGTAGTAATCTGCTTCCTGTACTACTAATGTGACTGATAAAACTGACATGGCCACTAAAGCAGGTAAACTATGATCAAAGGGGAAAAAAGTATGGATTTTTCACATACTATTCACAGTTCGGTACATGAAACAAACTGTCCTAAGCTCAGGTCTAAAATCAAAATATAAAACATGGTCCCACACCTTACAGCCATGAACAGCATGTCCCGTCCTTTAGCCAAATCTGTCTAAGAACACTATTTAATCAGATGTATTTAAACTCTATTACTTATTTCTCTGTTTACTGTCTGCCGCATTGGTCTTTTTAGGGTGCATGATAGAGTCAGACCATCTGTGCCAAGGTAAACATGTTAATTTAGACATGTTGCAACAAATATATCCTCATGCAAATATAACTTGCACCATGAGAGCACTCACATGTACAGGACAACCGCAGCAGGGACACACAGTCCAGTCTATCGTCTGCATCTTTGAATAAAACATGTTGCAACATGTTTTAAAACAAACAAGTTGTTTTAGATGTTTGTAGAGTCTGCAGTCCAATATATTGTATACAATACTTTCTTATCTAAAATTTCTCCTATTATTGAGTACTTGAATGCATTGTCCACAATGTCATCTCTATAGGGATAAGCAAGTGATGGATCCTCCATCAGAAAAGTTACCTAGTACATTTTTAATAAAAGGTGGCAGTACTGGAAGAATGACACTACTTACTGTAATCAAATGTAATGTAATTAGTAGATTGGAAGGAGCTTTAGTCATTCTGTACAAAGCTGGAGTTAGGGATGATTGTAGCACCTGGAGAAAACCTACACAGACAGAGAGAGAACATGCAAACTCCACACAGAAATGCCTTGTCTGGTAATTGAACCCAGAACCTTCATGCTGTGAGGTGAAAGTCTCACATTTATTTTTAATTAATGTATATTATTTCTACCTCTAGTTGTGGTTATTGAAACTCATTGCAGCAGCTATTAGGTCTGCAATGTAATCGCGTGTAATTGCGCTCATGAAGCTTAAAATCTGAAATGTAATTCTTGTAGTTAGTAAAGTTTGCGTGCATATTGCTGGAAAGGTGGTGACTCTAAAGCCCTCACGTCTTCATGTGGTTTACAAAAGGCAGGATGGTGGGTGGCCAACTGGTCAGAGCCGCAGGGCCTTGACAGAGCATGCTTAAATCTGGTGGATACTTGGTCACTTACATAACTCCCACGTAGTTACATCTCATTACCTCCAACAAGCAGCCAATTCATAAAGCGCGCGGTTCCTGTCCCCAAGAGTGCTGCCTGAATACCTGCACTGTTATGTACTATGTATTCCAGCTGAATCATGATTCTCACACCGAGCCTTTATCCACCCAAAGCCTGCATCAATCTGCCTGTCTGCGCCTGCTAACACTAATGCATGCTCCAAAGAAACAATCTCCACTAAATACAAAAGACAATTGTACTTACTGTTTCTGTAAGGTTTTCTGAGGTGAAAATCAAACAGTGAAGTACAGAAATTCATGTATGTGTACTTCAAATGGATCTCATAAATTGAATCAATTCTCTCAGCACTCCGAGCACTGATTGTGCAGACTGGTTCTGTGTCAGATGCCCTTCCAGAAACACTGGATTGGAATCTTTGTGGTAAACCATAGAAATTGTGCATATCCAAAACAAAGAGACAAACAATTGTTTGAAAATGTACAGACCAAAATTACATGTTACTGTGAATAATATTCCAGTTATGTATTCATTAAGCTACTTTTCATTAAGTTACTTTATTGGTGTTTTTAATTCTAATTTTACATAATTCAATTTGGTTATTTATTGATTTGATATATAAATTGATGTAAAATGCTACTCTTTCTGGAAGTCCTGTGCAAATATTTTCCGCAGTGGTGGAGAGTGGGACCACTTGTGGTGAAGGAGGGGGTCCTTAAGTACGGGCAAACTTATATCTCTCCTCCTTTTAGTACTACTTCTTTCTCTCACCTCTTTCTCCCGATACCATCTACAGAGCCTTGGGAGATTTTTCATTCAGATGGACTCTAAGATAGTCATAAAGCAAGGTCAACGTCAATATTAAGGTAAGTCTTTGTGATTCAATGCTGTCCTTTAATTTATTTTATTTTATTTTATTTTATTAACAGATTTTTAGCAAATGACTTTTAGTCAAGATTAAGCATGCTTGCCTTAGTTGTAAAAAATGTACTTAATTGTTTCATTAATATTTCTACTTATTTTTCATTGCAAATTCCAGTCAATACTAGGCATAAATTGCAGAATTATGTAACCTCATGAGATGTATAGAGTGCCACAGTCCTGCACACTGCCGCTCTGTTGCTGCTCTCTTCCTGTCACATATTAACTCCTTTTTAACACGTTTTCCTTCCTGGGCAGATTTTTACAGTTTTGGCAAGCTGCTAAATCCTGGTAGCTAAAGCCATTGATTGATGATGTCTTCAATAAAAAAGCTTCTAGCCATTAATATTTTTGTTTGTTTTGTAATCTTCAGGAGGGAAACCAGGGAGGACATTAAAATATATCTATTTAAACTGCACATATAGAAAGGGAAAAGCGTTGGCTGAACATGCTGTTTACTCTTGGACTTTTCCTACTCCTCGCCCCACTTCCCTCATTTGAAAGCCCGACCATTGACAGAAGGGACTCTTTGGGAAGTGAAGGCACCAGAGCAAATGCAGTTCTTACCTTACTAAAACCAAAAACCACTGTAGTAGCTGCCAAAGCTGCTGCTCGCTCTGCCTCAAAGCCAAGCACGGTCAGTCAGGCAGTTTTAACTTCTCCCATCACCACCCCAAACCCCCCAACGGTCAGCACCACCGGACCCGCCAAAACTAAGCCCAGCCCACCGGTGATTCAAACCACTCCAGCAGCACCCTCAAAGACCGCTCCTGCCTCCAGTGGATCCAACAAAGGCAAGCTCTCAGCTTCAGTGAACCAGACAGCCCCAGCCAAACCTCAGGCTGCTGCTGAGGCTAAGACTAGCAAAGAAAAAACTGCCCCCACTACAGTTCCAAATGTCCCACAAACACCAGCTAAGGCAGCAGCAGGAAGTAGTGTAAAGAACACCAAGGACAGAGTGTCAGTAACCCAGAGTGCTTCAGCCAAATCTGTTTCCAACGCTGCAACAGACAAACTCAACAAAAACAAAGCTCAGCCCTCAGTAAATCAAACTACAACTGAAGGAAAGGTGGCTAAAGAGAAGTCTGCCTCAAGAACATCAACAACTGCTCAGGCTGCTTCAAAGACAACCAAAGAGAAGGTTCAGCCTGCAGCAACGGTCACAACAAAACCTACATCTACTAATGCTACTATAACAAAGAAGGCGGCCACTACAACAATCCAAGAAGTGCAGTCAACTTCAGCCAAATCAGTTTCAGGTGGAGCTGCTAAAACCTCCAAAGAAAAGCCAGTGTCTGCAGAGAATTTTTCTGTGACAGTTAAACCGTCATCACCCTCGGCCAGCACAGACAAGACCCCCAAAGAGAAGACCAGCTCCACAAATCAGACAGTGAAACAAGCACCAACAAAAGCTCCTACCACAGCTCCAAAAAGTAAGAATCAGCCCTCAGCCAACCAAACAATGGTCCTCAAATCTCCCAAGCCCAGTGCTGCCCCCACCCCACCAATCAAGGTGGTCATCACTGATGGTTGTGAGTCCAACAGCAAAAAGGATGAAGAGATGGAGCTGAAGCCTGGAGCTCCTCTGGTGATGACACACAAGATCAGTTTGGTGCCCACCAGCTGTAAGGGCGGGTGTGAGGCCAAAATGGCTGCCCTTGAGGGACGAGTGGCTCTACTGGAAAGAGAAATGTCATCCCTAAAAGAAAAGTGTAAGGATGCTTGGTAAAATTACATACATATTATTTGTCTATATGTGTTTTTATTTCATCTGGGCTGTCTTTGGTACTTTGTAGGTGCATGTTCTGCAAGCTGTGCTAATGACTGCAGTGGCAATGGAAAATGTGACAGAGGGAAATGTATTTGCCAACAAGGCTTCACTGGTTCAGACTGCAGCAGTAAGTACAAAGCATCAAACTGAATCATGCCCAAATATTTTGAATCTCATTTAAAATTATTATGTTGCTGTTTCAGAAGTTGTCAAGGAAAAGCCCAAGACTACAGGAGAACCAGCCTCTACGTCAATGAAAAAAGATGGTAGTGCAAAAGATGCATCCCAAACAAAGCCCAAGAAGGGAGATGCCAAAGAATCTGGCTTTACAACCAAAGAAGGAAAAAGTAAAACCAAATCTGACACTAAAAACATTAAAAAGAGTAACACTACGAAGACTCAGATACCTTTGACTGAAGAGAAGCAAGAATTGCGCACAGATAAGCCCATATTCATAGCCAAGCCCGAAGAATCTGCAGATAGATCTAAATCCGGCAAACTCAAAGATGAGCCTCGCACTAATGTCACACATATTACAACAATGAAAGTCAATAACACAACAAAATCTGTAACTGAAACAAGCAAAACCAAGATGGAGCAATCTACAATGACAGAGACGTCTACCACACAGCAGAGCCAAAAAGAAAAGGCAAGCGATGACAAACAAGCTGGTGATGGCAAGATTGTAAAGAGTATATATATTGTGAATGTGACAAATGTGCAGTCGGCAGAGGAGACTGGACTTCAGCAAACCAAAAGTGACATAGGAAAAGATCCAAAATCAGGAGGGCTAGGGTTGGTAAGGGTAACCAATGTTTCCTCCTATAGTTTTATCCTCACTTGGTCTGCCCCACACGGCATGTTCAAGAATTTTACAGTTGTCCGCCGTGAACCTGAAGCTGGAGAGTTAGAAGAAGAGGAAGTCCTTGAAAAAGACAAAACAGATTTCACTGAAGTACAAGTGCAAAGTGAAATCGCTATCAATGGAACAAGTTCTGGTAAAGTGACGGCAACAAGAACCAAAGCAGAAGGCAGGAGGATCTCTATGGTCGTCCCTGGCAACACACGTTCAGTGGAATTTAGTAACCTCAGAGCAAACACGCGGTATGTGCTGTACATCTATGGTTCAGGGGCAGAGAGACGATCCAAGATGCACAGAGTAACAGCTACAACAGGTACAAATTTTAGATAAACTAATGACAACATTTTGAAGGTTTCTTGACATGCATCCATTTCCTTTCCCCAGGTCCAGAGCCACTCAAGGAGGTGCTGTTCGGTGACCTCACTGAGAATTCTTTCACTGTATCTTGGAATAAACCAAAGGGAGCATTCACCGGCTACAGAATCACATACATCAACATCGTTACAGGTTTGTCTGCACCAAGAGCAAACATAGTCTATACTTTTTTCATGTGCTTAGTGAATATTTTTCTTCCATTTTTCTTACATTGATTTTATTATGTTTCATGCAATTAGTATTTTTTTTATCTGCCATTAAGTAGTAAGTATAGTGTGTGTTTGAGAATAGAACTGCATTAAACTAAAAGCACTAAATGACAATATGATAATCTATCTAACAATCACAGAATCATCAGATGACAATTTAATTTTATTTTTTTATTGCCACATTTTAGTATCACTTATAGTTATAGTTACAGCTCTAGTCTATAGTATGGACAGGAGTACTTCTTTCACCACTGGTAAACAGAAAAGAATCCTTAAACATGCACTTTTCTTACCAGGGGAAAGCCAAACTGTGACTCTCAGTACAGAATATACCAGTTTCACTTTGTCCAAGTTGTCTGCTGGCACCTCCTACATCGTCACTGTGTATACTACATATGGCAGAGTCCAGAGCGATCCCCACACCACCCTTATCACTACAGGTAAATAATTTTAAAGCATTTTCCTTGGTTTGTTATGAGAATAAAACAAAAGTTATTTTGCCTTGTCCCTTCCACAGTGCCTGCTCCTCCGACGCATTTCCAAGCTACAGAGGTTTCCGACACAAAGGCTCTCCTGAAGTGGACGCCCAGTTTGGGGAAGGTTGATCGTTTTGTCATCAGCTATGAATCGTCCAAAAGTGAGTATTGAAATATGACCAACCTAAAAAATATATAGTAACAAAATTAATTTAATGTTTGCCTTGTTCCAGCTCCAAATGTGACAGTGACAGTAATGCTATCTGGCAACACCATTGAACACCAGCTGAAAGGCTTGCTACGAGGAACCCTGTATTCAGTTAAGATCTTCAGTCAGAAAGACAACTACAAGAGTCACAGCATGTCAACCACATTTACTACTGCTAATTGTGAGTTTACAACTACAATTACTATTTTTTTCTATTTTCTACTGCTTCTTTATGTACAACTCTGTGTGTTGCAGCTGTCAGACCCAGTGAAATAGGTGCTCGTCATGCTACCATAACATGGAAAACTTTCACTTTTTATCAAAGCTACAGAATCACATACCAGGTGTTTGGAGAAGAGGCAAAGGTAAAATCATTTTGTATTCTCAACCTATAAGGCTTTCAGACAAAGGTCAGTGATTTTAATAATATAACTATTTGTATTCGATTCAGGAGATTATTTTGGATCCAACCATCACTGAATACAAGCTGACAGGCCTGATTCCCATGTCTCGATATACAGTGTTGGTACAAGGTGAAAGAGATGGGCACTACACTTCCCTTGTCACTGCAGAATTCACCACAGGTACAGTACTGGAGAGTTAAGCTAACAACAACAAGTTTCATCAATCCAAATACCTTCATCAATTTAAAAATTATTTGCCCCTTCATTTCTGACACATTAAATAATGACATTTATACTAATAATCAACTGCACCTCAGTCAGTTTTGTTTTGGACCTGGGCCTGTACTATATGTGTAATGCCATACTGTGGAACATTCCAGGCCCAACTGTACATAAAGTGCACCATTAAAAAGATCCAACATATAATTTAGTAGTTCTAACTGGTAGATAGGGAGTTTTCTTGTGCAAGTAGTAGGAATATTTGTGGTCATTAATAAATAATAAATAAAAAATATTCCTACTTGTATTTATGGAAATTTTGAATCCTTTTAGGAAAACTGCGCTTCCCTTTCCCCACTGAATGCTCCCAGGAGCTGCTGAATGGGGCTCTTCAGTCTGGAGAGGTGGACATTTACCCACAGGGCAGAGAGGGCCCAGCAGTCAGAGTGTACTGTGACATGGAGACCAATGGAGGTGGATGGACAGTAAGAGAAACTGCTTCAATCACACTACGCACATAAACTACTCACATTCATTAACATATAACACGTTTTAGGTTTTCCAACGGAGAATGAATGGAAAGACAGACTTCTACAGAACATGGAACGAGTATAGCAGCGGCTTTGGGAACATCAGTGAAGAGTTCTGGCTTGGTATAGTTTTATGAGCAAAATCAGTACTCTTATTCAGATATGACCTATTCTGTAACATGATGAATATAAATGTGTGCCAACAGGAAACAGACTACTTCACAACCTGACCAGCGTTGGCCCGGTCAGTCTGAGAGTGGACATGAGATCTGGAAATGACACTGCGTTTGCTCATTATGCAAATTTCTCTATCGGCCCAGAGGAGAGGCACTTCACCCTGACTTTATCTGGATACTCAGGGAACGCAGGTGATCCAGAAACTTAAGCTTAAACATGTTACTGTCTGTCACAATGTAAAAAATGTATACTGTATAGTGTCAAACTAAAAGTAAGCAATGTAATCTACAAAACATAAAAAACAAGAATTGAAACATTCTTAAGGAACAGGAACATGCATTATAATCTCTCAAACATGGACATAATCGGATATTTATACAGTTTTGTGATTATTTTTACAGTATTTCACGTCTATCCAATACCTGAACCTCAATGAATACACCAGTAGCCAGCCACTATACCTACTATAGCACATTTCTGATGGACTGCAAAGATATAATTTCACTATGTCATATCAAAATATATAATAGGATATACATTTTTTGCCAATTGTTCCCATATAACTAACTTTTAAATGTCCATCAGGTGACTCTATGAGGTATCACAATGGCCGCCCATTCTCAGCCCGGGACAAGGACCCAGATCCTTTGGGCATTCACTGTTCTAGGGCCTATATGGGGGGTTGGTGGTACAAGAACTGTTACAAAACCAACCTCAATGGCCTGTATGGCATCAACAGCAACAATCAGGTACATATCTCCCAACTTCAAAATTGGTCATATTTGTTTATTGACCGAATAATAAAATACTGTGTTATTGTTTTGTGTGTTTCAATTAACAGGGAATAGTGTGGATTGACTGGAAAGGCAAAGACTCCTCCATTCCATTCACCGAGATGAAATTCCGACCTTCCACGTTTTCTCCGGCCACACACGGCTAACAACACTCACTTTGTGCCCGAGAAAGTTGAATGTTAAAAGTTTTCCATCCTGTTCGTCTCATTGTTTTGATTGTTCATGTTTTTGTCGAGAAAAGACCCATTTAGATTCATCTATATTTCAGTGTTCTAGCCTTAACACCATCATGTGTACTGCAATGGTACTTCACTACTGTAATTAAGTATGCACTGTCCCGCTCCAATTGAATAAATGTGGCCATTGTGGGTCTAATTTTATGTTTATTTTATGCATGAGGGCAAAAGCTAAAATTGCATAGCCTATTTGAACTCTTATGGTCAAGTAATGACTGAACAGACAATCTCTTCTACATTCTGCTGTCAAAGTGTTTGGTTTTGACTGGCCAGGTAGGTAATGGTGTAGGGTAGTGGTGTAGTGCAGTGGTTGTCAAACCTTTTACATCAAGTAGATCTAAGGTCTAAGAAAATAGCCTATTATTTTTTTCCAAGCACCAGATCTACCTCTTACATAAACTTAAACCAGGTCTGAAGGATAAAAAGGATGTAATGTTAAGCAAAAACTAGAAATGCAGTAAGAGCCATGTAGGCTACTACACCAGAAAGATCTTGTGTAGCACCGGGGGTCCTCAAACCACAGTTCGAAAAACACTGGCCTAGACTGTTTCTATAGGCATAGATTTTTTAAAATATCAACTATAACCTATATTTATTTCATAGAGTCTACAGAAGGAGTAGGTCAAATCCAACAAGTATGAAGGATAAGTACAGAAAGTAATGTTTTTCAAAAGCAGGGCAACTATGGCAGCTAGACTCTCAATGGAGGAAAAGAAAAATAGGTGTGGCCAAAAAAAAAAAAAAAAAAAAAAAAAAAACTGTGACAGTAACACCCATGGAACTAAAGTAAGAATTATATTTCCATGATAACAGCACGATGAGTCAGGCTTGGCCCTGGAGGAAAGTTATGAGGTTAGCAACACAATAAACTAAATATATGACAGGTTATCGCTATGTATTTCATCAATAATAAATGTAGACTAAAGAATACTTTTTACTCCACATGGATTAATAGGCTACTGCAGTTAACCAACCATGTACGATGTGAGTTTGGACATCAGGGAACCGCGTGTGCCACTTTTCCTTTTCCTGCCACTTTTTTTTTCTTCAGTGTAAATAGATCCAAGGTGTAAACTCAACGCCAGGGGAATAGACATGTTACATTATTTGCAAACGCTAGATGTCACTGTTGCACACTGGAAAGAAACATTTTCCTGCGATGAGAAAATATTTTGTTAAGTGACTATTATCTTGCCCTTCATTCCTTCCACCCTCTGTGTTTACAGAACACAAATTACACAGAGTCCTGATCTTATCTTAAAATGAAACATCTCGAGGTCAGGGAAACAAAACAACAAAGATACAATATATAATGGGCTCGCAGGGATCTGACTTGCTTTCTCAAGAATGGCAATACAGCTGAGTGTGTTCAGTGTGGGAGCTCTGCTTTTGCTGCTATTTTTTCTGATTGCACTAATTTCTATTTTTAACGCGAAACAAAACTAACAATGCAGAACACAAAGGGAGTAAGTACATTAATTACATTTATGCAAAGTTTATAAGCTAGTTTCTGTATTTTCATTATCTGTTTCCTTGCAGCTAAATCACGCCTGCTCCAATATGTTACTCAGCTAGTGTGTGGTAGCCCATCCCTCTCTCTCCCTGGACCGCCAAGCTATTTTCTCATTGGCAACATGATGGAGTTAGCTCATGATCACCTGCCTATTCACCTGACCAACCTGGCTCAACGCTATGGAAGCATCTACCGTCTCATATGTGGAAACACCAGTAAGAGACACTCACATTTTGGCATTTTGAATATTCCTTATTTGATAGATCTGAAGGACTGTGTCTGTCTCTTGTAGCCATTGTAGTTCTGAACAGCAGTGAAGTCATCAGAGAGGCACTGGTGAAGAAATGGTCAGATTTTGCAGGAAGACCAGACTCTTACACAGGTGGGTCACGCTTTATCACCAGGCCACAAGTGCTTTTATAAAACTACTATTAGATTATTAGAAGTAGATGTAAGATATTGTAATAGTTTTATCAACAGTGGATATCATAAGTCTTAATGGTTGTGTTTTAGCTGTAGCAGGTGCTCTAATTTATAATGTTTTTTGTTACTGTAGTGTTGTGTATTTATTTACTTACTCAAATAATATACCTTTCAACTTTTGTCAGGGGTTTAACATTTCAAAATTAATGTTTTGGTGATGTACACTGGGAAAGCTATCATTGTATATTTGTTACAGGAAACGTAGTGTCTAGAGGGTGCTCCATCTCCCTGGGTGACTACACTGAGGTATGGAGGGCACATCGGCGCTTGGTTCACAGTGCACTGCAGCGATGCTCTCAGAAATCTCTGCACGAAGTCATAGAGAGGCATGCACTGCACATGAGAAGGGTACAAGAGAAAAATACTTTGAACAATCAGCAGCAAAACAAACCATGCAGTTTTTTTTTTTTTTTTCATTCTTCAAGGTATTAATGAACTATAAAGGCACAGCGGTTGATTTATCTGAGGATTTCACTGTGGCTGCAAGTAATGTCATCACTACTCTGGCTTTTGGAAAAGAGGTAAGCAACCATGTACTTTTCTCTGGCTGATTTGATATGAAGTACATATAACAATCTGCTCAACATGTACGTATTTTTGAAACATTACCTGACATCGCCCTTCTGTTTATGTCTAGTATGATAAAAGTTCCCCTGAGCTGCAGCATTTGCACACTTGTCTGAATGAGATTGTGGCTCTGTGGGGCTCGTCGTGGATCTCTGCCCTGGACTCTTTCCCGCTGCTCAGAGTAAACAGTAATTCTTTCAAATACTCACATTTATATATGTTCACAGTTCAATGTGTGTTTTATTTTTTTACAGAAACTACCAAATCCTGTGTTTGCACGCCTTTTGAAAGAGGTAGTGCGGAGAGATGATATCATACAAAAACATCTCAATGATTATAAAGTTGGTATAAAAACGTTATAAAAAGTTATAGCTATGTCAGTGTTTGATCAGAGTGTCATTTGGTTCTTTTGTGTAGTCCCTAAAAAATAAAAGTGAAGATGCTATAACTGGTTCATTACTGCATGGTCTTGAACAGAACACGGTAAGCGCCATGTTGGAACATTTGAATAATATTAATGATTGTAACTGAATTACTTTAATTATCTGTGTACATACAACAGTACATGTGATTTTGTCGCTGTTTTCGAGAGTTAGCCCAATGTTCGTGCAGCCCATTGGCCCGTATATTTTTACCTTTTAACTTTCTTTTTACTGTGAAAAGTACTTTATGTGTTGCAAAATCAGGATATTAACATATTGTGAGCCATGCATTGTCTTTAAAAAAAAAAAAAAATTAAATTAGACATTTTTGAATGTTATAATATTTAACAGTTTCCATGTTAATAAATAATTATTATACTCCACAGATGCTCACAGACACTCATGTTCACATGGCCACTGTGGACCTTCTCATTGGAGGAACTGAGACCACTGCGGCCTGGCTAAACTGGACCATAGCCTTTCTTCTGCACAGACCAGAGGCACGTCCAAACCACAAATGAAATACACTCAAATACAGACACATCACATTAAACATATGTGTTCTTCAGGTGCAGAGCAGAGTGTATGAGGAGATGTGCACGGTGCTGGATGGACAGTACCCCAAATATAGCGACAGACACCGACTGCCCACCCTCAACGCTCTGATCCACGAGGTGCTCAGGCTGCGGCCAGTTGCTCCTTTAGCAGTGCCTCACAGGGCCATCAGAGACAGCAGGTACTCTGGTACAAACATGTATAGAAAGCTAACTATGTGAATTGTGTAAAAAGTTAGTAAACTTATTAATTGAGCACTCTAACTAGACAGAAAATACTTTTTTTAACAAGCCATCCAACCTCCATGTATTGTTTAAAATCTTGAATTCATTCTCGGTTTTAGCATCGCGGGTTATTTCATCCCGAAAAACACAGTGATCATTCCAAACCTCTTTGGCGCTCACCATGACCCTGCAGTTTGGCCTGACCCATACAGCTTCAGACCAGGTAATGGATTTTTTCATAACCTTAATCAAAGCCTAACCTTAATTATTTTTTAAACCTTGACCATAATAATCCAACCAAAATTATTACCATTTTCTTAAACTTCATCACTTGAAAGATCAATCACAGAAGAATATTCCTCTGAAGCATACTACCTAGTATCTCTCACCAACCAAACAGCTTTTTCTGTTTCAGAGCGCTTCTTGGAGGGAAGTAATGCCACTCGGGCCCTGGTCCCATTTGGAGGAGGGGCACGTCTCTGTTTAGGGGAATCTGTGGCCAAAATGGAGCTGTTCCTCTTCACTGCGTACCTGCTGAGAGATTTTCAATTTGTTCTTCCTGACAAAGTCCCTGCACCAGACCTGATGGGTGTGGCTAGTGTCGTGCTGAAGGTCAAACCATTCAAAGTCATAGCACTGCCAAGACTGGGACATTTCAGCTAAAACTGAATTATGTAAGCCTACCAAGTTACATTTGTCTATGAACTATGAACTATGAAAACCCTTATACATGTCATAGAGAAGAGGACTGTCTGAAAAGACATAAAGCTATAGAGCTAGTAGCAACATATTTTTTTATATTTTCTATCAACCACATGTCAGTCTTACTGTGGCCTGCAGGTTGAGATGGCAGTTTACAGACAGACTGCTTGTTTAGATTCAGATTACTCTCTCTTTTTTTTTTTTATTAAAATCTAAATTAGAATGTTGTTTCCTCATCAAAAACATGCCTGGACTTGTGTTTTGTTTCATTCACACATGTTTAACAAACAAACCTTGCACATTTAGAGTGAGTTCTTCTCTCACACACAGAAAACACTCTGTTCCACCTTGTGATGTCACATAGTGATACAGAAAGTGCTCCACTGTGTTTTTAAACTCCATACACCTTCACTCAAATAATTACAATTACTTCAGATCTGAAATGGCCTATCTCTTCTAAACTAAAGGTAAAAAAATGAACCTGAAAACTGCCACTGCATGACATCACAAGGTGGCAGCATTTTGAGCAGGTCCTTAATAATAAAGGATTACTCAAACGTGTAAATGAAATAAAACAACACTGGATATGTTTTGATAGCTTACAAGCTTATAAGAGCCAGTTTGTGTAATTTCGTCATTTTGTGTAAAATAGGACCTTTAAAGGTGCACTATGTAACATTTGTAGTGGAAGGAAGGAGGAGGTTGTTGGAACAACTACCTTGTTACTGTGATGCCATGTTTGACAGTATGGCATCAAACCATTTCTATCTCAATAGCTCACAGAAGAAGACATGTTTTGATGGTAGCAATAAAAAAAACACTTGTAATGTGTATAGCAATAACATTTCACAACAGTTGGCAGAGCTTCCATTGGCAAAGTTACGTAGAGCACCTCTAGCACCTCTTTTATCATTTTACATTTTACACTTAATATTTGTGGTCAGTTGATGAGAAGCAATACTTTCAGTTTGCTGTGGTAAGAGAACTTAGAGTGGCTGGAGAAATAGATGCAATTTTTAAAACCATTTATGGCTAATCACAAGTGTGTTACAATGATTTTATCATTTGGTTTTGGACTTTTATTTGCTACTCCAAAGCCACAGCATCTTACAAAATAACAATGTCAGGTAAAGTATAAGTATGTATATATGTGGTGATATTTGCAACAGTGAGTGACTCAGTACCTTTCACTTGTACAAATGCTTTCTCTCCTGTTTTGACTGGCAAAGGCCAAATGTCAGCCTCAAAAACTGGTTTAGTGCTCCTTTTGATTTTAAAAGAAGCTAATAAATACATAATATTTTGCACTGTTTTTATGATGTCGACTGAAGATAATGGGAAGCAATACTTTCAGTCTGCTTTGGTAAGAGAACTCTAGCTGAGTAGCTGAGTCCTGGGTAGCTGGGTCAGAGGTGGAGGAAGTATGAAGCTGTTTAAGTAAAAACAACACTTACTTTGTTTACATAAAAAAGTAAAAAGTAAACATCTCAAATTGCATTTTATATATGACAAATTAATTGTTAGCAATTGATCTTAAACCAAACATGCTGTTGGATGGAGTTCTAACTTCTTAAAACCTTTTTTGTTTTGTTCATGCATTTTATCCAGTTCACAGTTTAATTAACAAAAGTCTGTGTATAGGTTAGGACGGTGTTGTGTGATGAGACAGATTTGTGCCAGGGGGGCATATCCATAGTTTATTCAAATCATGTTCATTTAACATGTTATAACAACTTCAAATCAACTCATATCAACTCCATACAGTTGACAGTGAGTGCAAAAACATCAGCCACACTGTAAATGACTCAAATATTAATAGTTTGACACGCTTCTATAAAGTCATTTCAGAGATGGACCTAAAAGGAGAAAATGTCACACTGACTTGTGTGCTAACCTGTGCCAGTACCACTTGTGACACAGACTTCAATCTAACCTGGTCTGAAGATGATACGCCTTACATTACAAGTGGTTTATTAAAAGGAAACAGGAGTCTCATCAACAAACTGTCAGTCCCAAAGGTTCACCTGGGCACTGGAGACAGTGTGTGCTCAGTGCTTAGAGAAGGTGTTCAAGTGGCAACAAAGACGTGGCGTTATAGGAATTGTAAGTAAGATGTGATGTTTATTTTAAAGGTGCATTGTGTAGTTTTTTGTAAGAGGGTCTGCTATCTCCTGGTCTCCATGGAAATGTTATTGCTTTGCCTGTAATTTTCCATATTTTAGCACTAAACGTTTGCCTGAGATCCAGAATACACACTTCTTTAATGCTTTACAAAAATGTGAGTCTGGTCACTGGTGAATCCCCATTTTTAGATGAGTGTGATTGACAGGTGGATTAGCCAATCAGGGACACACGTGGTCTGTCCATATCAGTTCTGCAGAATCAATGAGTGAAGCACAGTGTTAATCAGAGGTGAAATCAATTTGATAAAAAAAATAAAAATTAATAAAAAAAGATGACCAATGAGCTCCTTTGTTTCACATGCATCAGAGAAAAAAACTAATCTAATTGCACAATCACCTAAAGGAGGTCAATCTGTATGAAAAATACAGAGAGATCATTCATCATTTATTTTTTGAGCAATAAAGCCAACTTATATTGAATAAATGTCAGACAGATGACAAGAAAAGCCGTAACATGAGACAAAAAAGTACTCCACCAGAAAAGTTACATAGTACAACTTTACTGTGATAATACAGGTCAGGTTTCAATGCAGCAATCAAACCAGGCATAACATTATGACAACCAGTCTACCTTAAATTGTGATTGCATGTGTGTTTGAACTTGTTTACTGTCCACTGAAGATCCATAAACTCCACAAGAGAATTGGATCAGCTATCTGACATAATTTGGCACTTTCGCTACTTGATGAAGATAGCTTATTAGTACAAAGAGAGATATATGCCAACATGTGTAATCCTGTTATATTGGGCAACAAAATCTATCAGATAATTGAGTATATTTTTATCTTGATAAATGCATTCTTAAAAACAACATTCAGGGCCGCTGCCATGTGGGTGCTTTATGCAGAAATGGTCGGTAGTTTATGCCTCCAACCCTCCTTTAAAGTGTGAACGATAGAAAGTTTTGTACAAACTAGCGGTGATGTGATGCATTTAATATACAACATTATTAGCAACTTATTATAGTAAATTTTTCTGTGCGGGCCTCCCACAGCCCTGATTTTCTCTGCTCTGCTCCGTGTATCCTTCACTCTCTGTTCTTCTCACTCTGCACCAAGGACAGGTGCTTCAGCACGCTGCTTCCCTCCTCAATAAATGAATGCGCATTTCACAGGATTGTGTGATACTTCCTCTGGACTCTGCTTTATTTAATTCCCCACATATGCCCCTTGTCTGGCTTGATATATCCTCAAACTGAAAGCCATGAACAGGCCAATAAATGTAAATAGGCCTGTATGGGCAGCAGCTAAAACGAATATTATTAAAATGCATATGTTTCATGTAATATGTGGAGTTCTAGGGTCTAGTAACTTAAAGAAATTATGATGAAAAAAATTTGTCAATTTTCCTTTTAAATACTAGAAAATACAATGTAGATTAATGTATAAGGGAAATTGTCTCTTGGCCCCATTTGGGTCTGGAAGAATGAAATCATCATTCTAAAATATATGAAAACATCCATTATAATTGTACATTTTCTATTTACTGAATGTGTCAGCCTTTAGTTGTGAGCTGCTCTGGTGGATGACAGCTCATAGCACCATCTAGTGTGCACATTTTGTATTGCCGAAGTAATACAAAATGTGCAAACAAAATGTGCACACAAACAAAATGTGCACACAAACAAAATGTGCACACAAAATGTGGCCAAACCTCCATTTCAAAGCCTGATCTCATCAGCTGTCAGAAGCTAAGCAGGGTCGGGCCTGGGTGGTACTTGGATAGGAGAAGCTGGATAGTCCAGGTGCCACAGTGGGGTGCCGGTGGTAAAAAACTACCATTGTGTCTTTAGGCAAGACACATCAGCCACATTGTATTGAATTGTGTGGTGTTGCAGGTACTTACTTTTCTGTGATTGTTGCTGTACTTTTCCCAGTCCTGTAGATGATGTGACATCAATCTGCTGAGGGACTGAAGATGGAAATTAGCCACGTTGACTATAATTTTACATATTTACATTTTAAATAGTCATTAATATGTGCTGTCACTTTACAAATAAAAAAAATAAAAATAAAATAAAATATTGCCTGGTTTGAAAGGGCTGTGCATGTGAAAGTTGGTGGTGGTCAGAGGGATTGATAGCGCACATTGTCAGCTTCGCTTCCTTCTGTCTGCCCCAGGGCACATGTGGCTACAATAGGAGTTTACCAACCACTGGGAATGAAATGAATGAATAATGCACAAAATTGTAAAGTGACGTGGAGCATGTGAAAAAGCGAGATATCTGACTAATGCATCATTATTGATACATCATTATTATAAATACACTGCTTGCTGATGGGCTCTCCTTTTGATTTTAAAAGAAGTTAATATATACATAACATGTTGCACTGTTTTTTGTTGTCGACTGAGAATAATGAGAAGCAATACTTTCAGTTTACTTTGGTAAGTGAACTCACAGTGACTGAGTTCTGGGGTGATATGTGTCATTTCCTGAAATAAGTTGAAACCATTTCTGGTCACTCATTTTTGCTTATAGCAAAACTGAAGAAGCTGACCACAAGTGTGTCACGATGTTTTTTTTATTTAGTATTGGACTTTTATTTCTTATTCTGAGAGGAACGGCTCCTTATTCATCAGGTAAACACTCTGGCTAGAGTAGCTGTAGACAACATGGATATAGCCTTGGTGATAGTAACCTGTGATATTAATTTAAAAAGAAAGTAGCTGGGTCAAAGGTGAGGGAAGTATGAAGCTATTTGAGGGAAACTATACTTACTTTGTTTACATAAAAAAGTCTACATCTCAAATTGCATTTGATTAATTGCTATCAGTTCATTGTTACAAATTAATTGTTATCAGTTGATCTTAAACCACAGTATAACCTGTAAATGTATGTATATCTCTCTGTGGGCAATGAATGAATATGGGATAAGACAAGTCTCATGTTTAGATTAAGCACCTCCCCTAAGTAGTATAAAACCAGCTTTCATTTCAGCTACCTAATTGGGGAATGCTGTTGGATGGAGTTCTAAGTTCTTAAAACCTTAGTTGTTTTGTTCATGCATTTTATCCAGTTCACAGTTTAATTAACAAGTCTGTGTTAGGTTAGGGCAGTGTTGTGTGGTGAGTCAGATCTGTGCCAGGGGGGCATATCCATAGTTTATGTTGATTTTACATGTTATAACAACTTCAAATCAACTCATGAGTGAATTCTGTTTACATGTATTATGTATTTTGATGTAGCAGATTTAGTTGTGTTTGCTGCATCGGGAGACAGTGTGACTTTACCATGCAACGTGAGCTCTGGGTCAAGGTGCTCGTCCATTTCATGGACCAAAGACCATAATGGCTTTGAATTTGATGTTGTGAGAGAGGGGCGATTGGTGGCTCCAAACATTACCTTGCTCAAAGACTGCTCTCTGCACATAAGTTACATGGAGAACGATAACGCCTCCATTTACACATGTTATAATGGAAACAAGAATTCAAGTGTTGACCTTCAGTGCCTCATCAGTAAGTACAAACTTGAGTCATTGTACACAAGTAGCCTATCATATCATCTTATTTAACGTGAGATATTTTGTTGTTATTTTGTCAGTTGCTGAAACGGAGAACAAAGACAAGATTGAGCTCTACTGTAACTTAAACAATTATATAGGACTTATAAGGCCTTGCAACAAGACTGGACTAAAAATCAGCTGGTTTGCAGAGGACAATACACAGCTCAAAGGGGAGCGGTTTCAGATTGAGAACAAAATAAACTGCTTTTCAAAACTTAAAATTCAACCTAAAAAGACTGACCATCACAGAAAATGGAAATGTCAAGCTTCTCTAAATGGCTCAGCTACAGCCATAGCGTCTTACCAAACAACAGTTTCAGGTAAAGTATAAATATGTACGTATGCATATATTTAGTACTGTATTATGTAACTTGCGCTCTGTTTTCAACAGATGGCATAGAGGAAGTTTTCGCAGCAGTGAGTGAGTCAGTATCTCTCACTTGTACAAAGGTTTCCTCTCTTGCTTTGACTGACAAAAGCCAAATGTCGACCTCTTTCTCACATACTACTTCAACTACAATAATAAGAAATGTTCGTGCTTCAAACTCAGGAGAGTACCAGTGTGAAGATAAAGGAAAAGGAAAAAAAATCTGGCTCCATACAGTTGACAGTGAGTACAAAAACATCAGCCACACTGTAAATGACTCAAATATTAATAGTTTGATATGTTTCTATAAAGTAATTTCAGAGATGGACCTAAAAGGAGAAAATGTCACACTGACTTGTGTGCTAACCTGTGCCAGTACCACTTGTGACACAGACTTCAATCTAACCTGGTCTGAAGATGATACGCCTTACATTACAAGTGGTTTATTAAAAGGAAACAGGAGTCTCATCAACAAACTGTCAGTCCCAAAGGTTCACCTGGGCACTGGAGACAGTGTGTGCTCAGTGCTTAGAGAAGGTGTTCAAGTGGCAACAAAGACGTGGCGTTATAGGAATTGTAAGTAAGATGTGATGTTTATTTTAAAGGTGCATTGTGTAGTTTTTTGTAAGAGGGTCTGCTATCTCCTGGTCTCCATGGAAATGTTATTGCTTTGCCTGTAATTTTCCATATTTTAGCACTAAACGTTTTCCTGAGATCCAGAATACACACTTCTTTAATGCTTTACAAAAATGTGAGTCTGGTCACTGGTGAATCCCCATTTTTAGATGAGTGTGATTGACAGGTGGATTAGCCAATCAGGGACATGCGTGGTCTGTCCATATCAGTTCTGCAGAATCAATGAGTGAAGCACAGTGTTAATCAGAGGTGAAATCAATTTGATAAAATATATATATATATATAATAAATAAATAAAAAGATGACCAATGAGCTCCTTTGTTTCACATGCATCAGAGGAAAAACAAATCTAATTGCACAATCACCTAAAGGAGGTCAATCTGTATGAAAAATACAGAGAGATCATTCATCATTTATTTTTTGAGCAATAAAGCCAACTTATATTGAATAAATGTCAGACAGATGGGTTTCATGTCATACTGTGGAGCATTTCAAGAAAAGCCATCACATGAGACAAAAACGTACTCCACCAGAAAAGTTACATAGTACAACTTTACTGTGATAATACAGGTCAGGTTTCAATGCAGCAATCAAACCAGGCATAACATTATGACAACCAGTCTACCTTAAATTGTGACTGCATGTGTGTTTGAACTTTTTTACTGTCCACTGAAGATCCATAAACTCCACAAGAGAATTGGATCAGCTATCTGACATAATTTGGCACTTTCGCTACTTGATGAAGATAGCTTATTAGTACAAAGAGAGATATATGCCAACATGTGTAATCCTGTTATATTGGGCAACAAAATCTATCAGATAATTGAGTATATTTTTATCTTGATAAATGCATTCTTAAAAACAACATTATTTAGTCTAATGAAAGTGAAATAAGCCATGCCTATTAGGTCTCAATGCCTATCAGTGGTCTCAGTGTTATGTCATGATTGATATGTGTAAAAATATCACTGCATAAAATATATCTCTTTTTAAAACTGCCTACAGCTCTGCATGGCCTTACTTGGATAGCCGTTCGGTCTGTTCTTATAGTCCTATTGTGCATTACCCCAGTAGTAATAATGGTGCTATACAGAAAGAGGAAGCACACCACGGATCCAGGTACTGTTTGGTTACATTTAAAACTAAAGCATGACTAACACACGTGATTAACTTGAACTTTTGTTATTCGTAGAAACTCTGCAAGAAAATATCACTTTGCAATGAACATGGACCAAAAATACGAAATCAAGCTGATACAACCTATTTGAGTAGCTATGTGGACATAGTGGAACAGTTTCACAACACTGGTACCTGCTGAAACATTTTCAGTTTGTTCCTGTCAAGGATCTCTCCACCAGACCTGAAGGACGTGACTGCGGCCTATTAAGCCTGGGACATTTCAACTAAAACTCATACTGTTCTGTAACTGCGAAAACGACATGTTATATAGATGTGGTTTGTCTTTAAATATTATATATTTTGAATGGGGGGAAAAATCGAAACGTTGCATAACTACACAGTCCGGCAAGGGGCATAGGTGACGCACAGTATGGTAACGCTACAGTAGATGTGACCAGGGTGACGCAGACGCGTGCACCTCGCACTCAGGGCCGCTGCCACGTGGGTGCTTTATGCAGAAATGGTCGGTAGTTTATGCCTCCAGCCCTAGAAAGTTTTGTAAAACTAGCGGTGATGTGATGCCTTTAATACACAATATTATTAGCAACTTATTATAGTAAATTTTTCTGTGCGGGCCTCCCACAGCCCTGATTTTCTCTGCTCTGCTCCGTGTATCCTTCACTCTCTGTTCTTCTCACTCTGCACCAAGGACAGGTGCTTCAGCACGCTGCTTCCCTCCTCAATAAATGAATGCGCATTTCACAGGATTGTGTGATACTTCCTCTGGACTCTGCTTTATTTAATCCCCCACATATGCCCCTTGTCTGGCTTGGTATATCCTCAAACTGAAAGCCATGAACAGGCCAATAAATGTAAATAGGCCTGTATGGGCAGCAGCTAAAACGAATATTATTAAAATGCATATGTTTCATGTAATATGTGGAGTTCTAGGGTCTAGTAACTTAAAGAAATTATGATGAAAAAAATTTGTAAATTCTCCTTTTAAATAGAAAATACAATGTAGATTAATGTATAAGGGAAATTGTCTCTTGGCCCCATTTGGGTCTGGAAGAATGAAATCATCATTCTAAAATATGAAAAACATCCATTATAATTGTACATTTTCTATTTACTGAATGTGTCAGCCTTTAGTTGTGAGCTGCTCTGGTGGATGACAGCTCATAGCACCATCTAGTGTGCACATTTTGTATTGCCGAAGTAATACAAAATGTGCACACAAAATGTGCACACAAACAAAATGTGCACACAAAATGTGGCCAAACCTCCATTTCAAAGCCTGATCTCATCAGCTGTCAGAAGCTAAGCAGGGTCGGGCCTGGGTGGTACTTGGATAGGAGAAGCTGGATAGTCCAGGTGCCACAGTGGGGTGCCGGTAGTAAAAAACTGCCATTGTGTCTTTAGGCAAGACACATCAGCCACATTGTATTGAATTGTGTGGTGTTGCAGGTACTTACTTTTCTGTGATTGTTGCTGTACTTTTCCCAGTCCTGTAGATGATGTGACATCAATCTGCTGAGGGACTGAAGATGGAAATTAGCCACGTTGGCTATAATTTTTACATATTTACATTTTAAATAGTCATTAATATGTGCTGTCACTTTACAAATAAATACAATTTAAAAAAAATAAATATTGCCTGGTTTGAAAGGGCTGTGCATGTGAATGTTGGTGGTGATCGGAGGGATTGATAGCGCACATTGTCAGCTTCGCTTCCTTCTGTCTGCCCCAGGGCACATGTGGCTACAATAGGAGTTTACCAACCACTGGGAATGAAATGAATGAATAATGCACAAAATTGTAAAGTGACTTGGAGCATGTGAAAAAGCGAGATATCTGACTAATGCATCATTATTGATACATCATTATTATAAATACACTGCTTGCTGATGGGCTCTCCTTTTGATTTTAAAAGAAGTTAATATATACATAACATGTTGCACTGTTTTTTGTTGTCAACTGAGAATAATGAGAAGCAATACTTTCAGTTTACTTTGGTAAGTGAACTCACAGTGACTGAGTTCTGGGGTGATATGTGTCATTTCCTGAAATAAGTTGAAACCATTTCTGGTCACTCATTTTTGCTTATAGCAAAACTGAAGAAGCTGACCACAAGTGTGTCACGATGTTTTTTTTATTTAGTATTGGACTTTTATTTCTTATTCTGAGAGGAACGGCTCCTCATTCATCAGGTAAACACTCTGGCTAGAGTAGCTGTAGACAACATGGATATAGCCTTGGTGATAGTAACCTGTGATATTAATTTAAAAAGAAAGTAGCTGGGTCAAAGGTGAGGGAAGTATGAAGCTATTTGAGGGAAACTATACTTACTTTGTTTACATAAAAAAGTCTACATCTCAAATTGCATTTGATTAATTGCTATCAGTTCATTGTTACAAATTAATTGTTATCAGTTGATCTTAAACCACAGTATAACCTGTAAATGTATGTATATCTCTGTGGGCAATGAATGAATATGGGATAAGACAAGTCTCATGTTTAGATTAAGCACCTCCCCTAAGTAGTATAAAACCAGCTTTCATTTCAGCTACCTAATTGGGGAATGCTGTTGGATGGAGTTCTAAGTTCTTAAAACCTTAGTTGTTTTGTTCATGCATTTTATCCAGTTCACAGTTTAATTAACAAAAGTCTGTGTTAGGTTAGGGCAGTGTTGTGTGGTGAGTCAGATCTGTGCCAGGGGGGCATATCCATAGTTTATGTTGATTTTACATGTTATAACAACTTCAAATCAACTCATGAGTGAATTCTGTTTACATGTATTATGTGTTTTGATGTAGCAGATTTAGTTGTGTTTGCTGCATCGGGAGACAGTGTGACTTTACCATGCAACGTGAGCTCTGGGTCAAGGTGCTCGTCCATTTCATGGACCAAAGACCATAATGGCTTTGAAATTGATGTTGTGAGAGAGGGGCGATTGGTGGCTCCAAACATTACCTTGCTCAAAGACTGCTCTCTGCACATAAGTTACATGGAGAACGATAACGCCTCCATTTACACATGTTATAATGGAAACAAGAATTCAAGTGTTGACCTTCAGTGCCTCATCAGTAAGTATAAACTTGAGTCATTGTACACAAGTAGCCTATCATATCATCTTATTTAACGTGAGATATTTTGTTGTTATTTTGTCAGTTGCTGAAACGGAGAACAAAGACAAGATTGAGCTCCACTGTTACTTAAACAATTATATAGGACTTATAAGGCCTTGCAACAAGACTGGACTAAAAATCAGCTGGTTTGCAGAGGACAATACACAGCTCAAAGGGGAGCGGTTTCAGATTGAGAACAAAATAAACTGCTTTTCAAAACTTAAAATTCAACCTAAAAAGACTGACCATCACAGAAAATGGAAATGTCAAGCTTCTCTAAATGGCTCAGCTACAGCCATAACGTCTTACCAAACAACAGTTTCAGGTAAAGTATAAATATGTACGTATGCATATATTTAGTACTGTATTATGTAACTTGCGCTCTGTTTTCAACAGATGGCATAGAGGAAGTTTTCGCAGCAGTGAGTGAGTCAGTATCTCTCACTTGTACAAAGGTTTCCTCTCTTGCTTTGACTGACAAAAGCCAAACGTCGACCTCTTTCTCAAATACTGCTTCAGCTACAATAATAAGAAATGTTCGTGCTTCAAACTCAGGAGAGTACCAGTGTGAAGATAAAGGAAAAGGAAAAAAAATCTGGCTCCATACAGTTGACAGTGAGTACAAAAACATCAGCCACACTGTAAATGACTCAAATATTAATAGTTTGATACGTTTCTATAAAGTCATTTCAGAGATGGACTCAAAAGGAGAAAATGTCACACTGACTTGTGTGCTAACCTGTGCCAGTACCACTTGTGACACAGACTTCAATCTAACCTGGTCTGAAGATGATACGCCTTACATTACAAGTGGTTTATTAAAAGGAAACAGGAGTCTCATCAACAAACTGTCAGTCCCAAAGGTTCACCTGGGCACTGGAGACAGTGTGTGCTCAGTGCTTAGAGAAGGTGCTCAAGTGGCAACAAAGACGTGGCGTTATAGCAACTGTAAGTAAGATGTGATAATTCTATTAAACGTGCATTGCGTAGCTTTTTTGCAGGAGTGTCTCCTGGTCTCCGTGGAGATGGTATTGCTTTGACTGAAATAGATTAAACTTAAAATTTTATTTACTGCAATGAAGACAAGACTGTGTATTCCAATGTATTTTTGAGCATTAATAGATGGGTTTAATGCTAACTCCTTAGGAATATTACAGGCAAACATCATGAGACAAGCAGGTGATGAACCCTCCACCAGAAAAGCTACATAATGCATCTTTAATGTGAAAATTCAAATTTATCAAATAAGGCATAACATTATGATCACTAGCCAACTTGAAACATAGGTCTTTTGTCTGTTTGTCCACAATAGACCAGTTATCTTAGTTATCTAGTGGAAAAATATAAATGTGAATATTTGTAGGCATAAAATACACACTACACCAAGCAGCTAAACTAAAATCTGCTTTAAAAATTCACTATAATTTGCCCATCTGTGCAATCGAATTGACTCCAACTAATAGTGGTCTTAATGTTATGTCTTGATTGATGTGTGAAGTAGTATCACTGCATAAAACTATTTTTAAAAACACTTCCTACAGCTCTACATGGCCTTGCTTGGATAACCCTTCCTATAGCCTTATTGTGCTTTGCTGCTATACTGTTGTTGTACAGAAAGAGGAAGCACAACAAGTATCCAGGTACAGTTGACGGGTTAAATCTCAAACTACAATCGAATAAAAATAACCCTTTGCATTAACTTTGACATTTGTTATTTACAGAAAATCTACAAGCAAATATTGGTTTGGTAAGAATAAAGCACGGACAAAATTTTTAAATCAAACTCATATATTTGACAAATAATATTCTTTTACAGACAAATGTTTATGAGGATGTACAAGACTGTGGTCCCAAGTGTAAAAGAGAAGCCATCACCTCAAATGACAGTTTCTATGATCTACTACAGGCTGTGAACTAGCATCTTCTCCCACAGCAATGAAAAATTCAAGCTGTTAGACTGCAGCCAAAAAGATAAGAAAAGAAAGACATATTAGAAATTACACATGTTGTTTAATTTATTCATATTTGTTTCATTACAAGCTACTCACAAGTGCACATCTGCTCATCCTGGCCTTGTTGCTGGGAAAAAGGTTGGTTGGTAAACACTAAAATGTAAAACATTGGGTATAGTTGGATGTAAATATTATGTAAACATTACATATTTAGTGGAAATACATTTCATTTGCATCTTTTTACTGTGTATATCATTTAATGCTGTTTAGCACGCAAACAGTATATTTTGAAGAATTTGGTGAAATTATAATCATATAACATAATTGAATGCATAGGACTATTTCTACTTGCAATGGATTTACCAAATAATTATCTGTAGCTCACAGATTACAAAATAAATAACAAAGAGCAAAAAATAAATAACAGTAATAAAATAAAGTAGCAAAAATAGCAGAAGATATGTGTGAAAGGTTTTCAAAAATAAAGAAAAAAATGTGCTCACCAGGTTCATGAACAACATCATATGTCGTATCATACACAAAATCTGAAGAGATGAAGACACTGTCAACTAATGGCAATTTTAGTTCAAAATGTGAAACAAGCAAAACTGACCATATTCCCGTGTCTCCTGTGGGACTTCTTTGTTGATATGTTTCCAGTAAAGTGCTGCTCCTACCAGGGCACTAATGAAGACAACTCCAGCTAACACTGCAACTGTGTGTACTGGTGCAAAGCCCCCTCCACTATGGGAGATCTGAGCAGTCTGGTTGACCATTGGCACTGTACAGGACAAAAACATTTATTCTATACTAAAAGATTTAATATTAGTATTCATTTATTGTCAAACTGACCTTGAGTTACTTTAATTGCGAATTTTGTTGAAAATTCTGCAAAATATGAAAAGAAGTTACTAAAGAAATAGTATATTATTGCAATTTGTGAAAAAGGTGGCATTGAAAAAGTCTCACCTTGCACCTGAAGATTGATGTCTACACAGCGCTGTTGAGTGTCTCTGAGACTGTAATTACAGCGGTACCACCCACTGTCAGAGGTCAGCGCAGATCTGACTAATATTGTTGACCCATTCACTTGATATGTATTCGGGAGGGGGACTGGGTTGCCATACTTGAGCATAGACCAGGAGGTATTATAGACCCTGGCTTGGTTCCCCATTGAACAGTTCAAAGTAACAACGGATCCAACATGTGCCTTCTTATCTTGAGTTGAGCAATCTGATAAAAGTAAGCGAAAGTATGAGAAATAGAGAAAGTAAGAAAAATAGAGATAAAATAGTACAAAAAATAGCTATTTGGTAAGCTTTAGCCTACCTTTTATTTTCAAAGTGAAGTTTTTGGCAAGTATGCACTCCCATCCACTCCAGATTTCACAGTTGTATACACCTTCATCTGATTTCTGTACTTTAGTAAGTAAGAGGACATTTTGTCTGTCTTTGAGCTGCAATTTTATACGTTTAGCATTAGAAAACTCTGGGGTTTCAGGACTAACAAGAATAACTTTTGAACTGAGACCATTTGAGGAATATTTAGTCCATTTTATCCTGGAGCAGCTTTGTCTATCCAAAAGCTCTGAATGAGAGCAATTAAAAGATGCATCTTCATCTACAGACCTCAAAATTATTGTGTCATCTGGCATACAAGAAATCAGTAAATATAGTTAGACATCGCCCTTACAATGGATATGAATAATTTTAAATAATTCAAATGTACTTACCTACACAGTAACACTGGACTACACAGATAAAAAAGATACAAAATACAAAACAAGTCATTTCTGCAACATGTGTGTAGTAGGCTATTGTCAAGTCCTACAGAAACTTAAAATCAGTTTCCTTAAGGTATGTCTGCACCCACTTATTCTCAGTTCCCCCAGTTTTTTTCTCTTGATGTCTTACTTGTGCATTAGCACCTCTGTGTGGCAGCCATAAACGTGGCAGTCTGTGGTGGCAACATGATGAGGGCGTTGATTGACATATTGTAAAAAAAAACAAAAAAAACAAAAAAAAACTTTTATCGACCAAACACATGTTTCAGTCCAAACATGACAGGTCTAACAGTTTTTTATTTTTTATTGTTTACAATTCATATAGATAGTCAAAACAATAAAAGGACACATCAGCTAGATAGAAATAAAGAAATAGAAATAGATAGAAATATTTATATAGAGCTGCATTTCTGTAATAATAGACAGACTGCTGTATTGGTTTATTTTATTCTGGGTGCATGTTACTGAATGTGAACTGTTGCTGATACATTTCATAAGGACCACTTCATTCACTTCACTTCCTCTTCTGCTTCATTTTAACACTCTCAGGGCGGTTCACACTTGCACCGCTTTCACAGCACCACAGTTCAGCATAAAATGGACACACTTCAAGGTCAGTTTCTCTCTTTATTTTTTATAGTATTCATAATTTTTATTTCATTCATACACACAACTTGAGACTTTTGCATTGTTTTATCTGCGCAGGTGGCAAGGCATTTGGTCTGCTCAAATCTCAACAAGAAGAAAAACTTAACTCTATCAATGAAGTGAGTGGCATTTTTAATTATGGAAAAATATCTTTATGTATAACTATTGCAAATATAAACAAACCAACAGATTATTTTAACTTTCATCTTTATGTATTCAAGGCTTTTCTATCTGACGAAAAATATGCAGAAGAGGAAGAACTTGCCTCAAAACTGGAACTGTTTAAAAGTTTGTTTAAATGTTTTTGTGCAAATATATGACGATAAAGAATTTTATTGTAGTATTGTATTATTTTCTTTTATATTACAGAGAAATACATGGAATTTGACCTCAACGACAATGGCGAAATTGGTAAAATCCAGTATAATTTAAAAAATTGTACCTCTGGTGACCAACTTTCCTTTATTGCACCATATTTGCAGACCTAATGGGTTTAAAGCGGATGCTTGAGAAACTTGGATTGGCCAAGACACATTTAGAACTGAAGAAGATGATGTCAGAAGTGGCTGGAGGGTCGTCAAAGGACACCATATGCTACCATGACTTCCTCAACATGATGTTGGGAAAGAGGAATGCTATTTTAAAGTTGTGAGTAAATACACAAAAAATATAAATAACCTGCAAGCAATTTATTAGTCAAATGAATGTGAAAAACATATTTATTTAATCATTCCTAAGTAGTTCTATAACTTCATTAATCTGTTCTGGCCATAGACTCTATGTTTCTACCTTGATGAGTTGAATAGTTGTGTAGCTTTTCAAGGTCCTAGGAGTTAATTACCTTGAATTTCTTGATGCCACAATGACTTCAGCTGGTGTTTGCAGGATCCTGATGTTTGAAGGCATGGGAAAGGAGCAGGAACCAAAACAATCTGGTCCACCGTGTCGGAAAACCTTCTCAGACCTGCCTTGAAAGAGAACTCACTTAATCAGCAATAACATTTAAAATGTGGCTTTGTTGTAAACCTACTGAACATTTACTGACAAAAGTAGGTGAACAAACCAGACAAATGTTGCAATTGTGTTTAATACACTGCTTCTCATAATGGAACTAAGTTAGTTAGGGACTGAACTGGCATTATAAGTAGGCTAGTCTTTGTACCCCTACACTTTTTGTTTGCATCTCTATGCAATTCTGAAAACAAATACTAAACTATATTTATATTGACTGAATGATGAGTTGGAACAAACTATCCAATAAAATATGCACTGATTGATACAGACATTATTATTGCACTTATTGTCTTTTGGCTACTGATATTTTATGCTTTATTTAAACAGTTTTATTTAATTTAAACCTTTATTAATTTAAAGGTTTATTTAAACCTTATTTTTGATGCCTCTTTTCTTCTGCTGGTAATAAAGTAATTTCTCATGGTATCTGATGAAATGCGAAAGTAAATCTTATTTTGAAACAACCGGAAATGGCCGGAAACGCCGCTAGTCATCAAGAGGGTCAGGAAGTAAAGCTAGGTTGGAGTTGATATATGACCTGATTATAACTTTTAAGGTAATACATTGTCGCTGTCGTGCGTTGACATATAGCACAGTTTGTTGTGTTTAAGAAAGGGCGTCAGTCAGATAATAAAATTAACAAATTACTTATACAGTGCATTAAAATCAAGACAGTTAGCATGTTAGCCTAGAAAGCTTGCCTAACCTGCTAATCCAGTAGAGCGGAGTAAATGTAAAAACACGTTAACAAAGATATACATTAAAGGCCTGTGCTACGTCGAGACTGAAACCCTGAATTTACGGCGTTTCCTGTTGTTTATCAGGATGAGCAGCTCAGAGGAGGTGTCCTGGATCTCCTGGTTCTGTGGACTGAGGGGGAACGAGTTCTTCTGCGAGGTTCGGTCTATAAACTCTCCTATTAACTTTCAAACACCTCATGCCATACTATTTCATAACACGCCTGTAACATAAGTTATAACTCATGTTTAGCTACACCGGAAAAGTGAATGAGCTATCTTTTTTTTTTTTTTTAACAATATATTCACTTGTATTGATTTATCTTTAGGTCGATGAAGACTACATTCAGGACAAGTTTAACCTGACTGGCTTGAATGAACAGGTGCCACACTACCGACAGGCTTTGGACATGATCCTTGACTTAGAACCAGGTGAGAATTCAGGTATTAACATGACATATACAGTAATAAATGTGTGATTATTTAAACAGTGTGTTTATTGTGCAGATGAGGAACTTGAAGACAACCCCAACCAGAGTGACTTGATAGAGCAAGCAGCAGAAATGCTTTATGGTCTTATACATGCCCGGTACATCCTCACAAACAGAGGCATCGCACAAATGGTAGGTCATAACAGCATAACAGCATACACTGTTCTTCTTTTATTTTAAATCACCCGATCACTTTTTTCCACAGCTGGAAAAGTATCAGCAGGGTGATTTTGGACATTGTCCAAGAGTCTATTGTGAAAACCAAACTATGCTACCCATTGGTATGATTATCAAATTTATATTGTTCATCTCCCCATAAGCATGAACACTATTAGGAAGTGAAGATTTTTTTATTTTTTCCAGGATTGTCAGACATTCCTGGTGAAGCAATGGTAAAGCTTTACTGTCCAAAGTGCATGGATGTGTACACACCCAAGTCCTCCAAACACCACCACACAGATGGAGCCTATTTTGGCACCGGATTCCCTCACATGCTGTATATGGTGCACCCCGAGTATCGTCCAAAGCGACCAGCCAACCAGTTTGTGCCAAGGTGTTTGACTTTGTTCATTTTAAAATATGAATATAGAGTCAGATTTTCAGGTACTAAAATTAGATTTAACATTTAACCTGTTCTGTGTTTTAATTTCTTCCAGGCTATATGGTTTCAAAATTCACCCAATGGCCTATCAGCTTCAACTCCAGGCTGCCTCAAGTTTTAAAAGCCCAGTCAAAAGCAACCGCTAGATGTCAGTGTTGTCAGTGGACACTAATGTTGTTTACTTCTTGTTGAAACAAATTATTATACTGTATTATAATAAAGCTTGTACAGTTTGGTGTTGAGTGTCTATGTCTAAATATGCTATTTGTCACATGTCATTTCCATATATTTTCTGATAAAGAAAATTTATATTTTAAATAAGCTATATTCAATCAGGTAAATGCAAAATGCACATTTTATTTTTCTTCATAAAAAGACAGGGATAAATCACAACCCAACAATATTTTTTCATAGTCTAAAAACATTTTTAAGTGGAAACTACTGATAAATTTTCCAAGTTGCTACAATACCAATGGCTTTTTAGGGGATTAAAAATGTGCTAACATGCTATTACAAAGAATTGATATTTTGTAAGCGTACGTTTCTTCTACAGCAGAAGTACAGAAAACACCAAGTGACATGTGATCTATGTTGATGGTGGTACAAGGCTTTACAAAGTTGATTTGGAATCAAATACATTTAACATGGTGTCCAGTCACAAGAGCCTTCAAACATGCTTCTGTTGAAAAATGCATTACATTAAACCACACAGTTCTGCTATATGAATCACATAGAAAATGTGTTTCTAGGAAAAAGCCACACACACTGTAAAATCTTCACTTTGAATGTGCATATTATCATTGACACAACAAAGATGCACATTTAGAGCAAGAAGGGACATACAAACACATTCTTCATACAATCGTGAAAGGGTCTGTTACAAAACCTGAGATACAAAGACCAGTGATGATAAATTAAACCAGATGTACATTTTTCAACATTAAGTTGAGGGAAACATACCAGTGTAAGATATGTTGAGTAAATGACAGGATAGGTATGTGGATTTACAGAGCAAACAAGACTAATTAAAATCAAGACGATGTTAAAAATTAATGATGCCAAATAATACACAACACAACAGTAACCCACAATTTGAGAAAATGGATATGTATAACTTAAAAACCTTAATTTGTACAAACACTATAAAAGCATTAATTCTATAAAATAGAGAAATATTTCAAAATAGAACAATTTTTAATTTAAACTTTACAATAATGAGTACGCTACCGGTTCTTGGCTGGTCAGGGAAGAAATTAATTAGATCTGCTTTTGTACCTGAGCTGGAACAAAGCCCACCTTTGGGCACAGAATATATTTGTTCACATTTTGTTTCGAGGTATGTCACTTAAAATGTATTTCTGAAAACCTAAACTATTACACATGTAAACAACACAAATTCCCTTGAATGTTTAACAAGGAAATAAATGCTTATAAAGTGGTCTAAAGCTACAAAGGAAATGGTTAGTTTAAAAAAAGATGTAAAAACAACTACATAAAATCCTGTAAAAGCGAAAAATGACCACTGGAAATGCTGCTGAACAAAGAAAACATAAAATGTTTTCTAGTATAAATGAACCAAAACAAAAACATCTACAACTTGTCTACAACAATAATTATGGGAGATACTTGATATGTGTGGGCATAGAGCTAGCCACAGTGTTGTGAGACGCACTGATGAAAAACAATGGACGAAAATATAAGAAATGTCAATCAGTTACAATGCAGAGGCTCCAGATCCTTTTCCCTGTAAAACAATCCATGTTTTAAAATCAGTGTGCATTGTTTTTCCTTTACAAATTTAGACAATGTATAAATACCTTCTCTTGATCAATGTCAGAGTCTGCAGTTATGACGATTCTTTTCTCAACACGAGTCTCAGATGATCCGCTTTTCACTACCTAGAGGAGCAGTACAGTTAGTGTTAATACAAAACCTTATGACTCAAACCAGTGATGGAGTTTTGGGCACATGCCTTTGAGATGTGAGTTGTGGTGGTGGTGACTGTGGTGCCACTGGTTGTTTCTGACGTCACCGTTTTGGAGCTGGACTCAGATGAAACCTCTTTGTCTTCGTCTGTTCCATCCACCTGCGAGAAAGGTAACACTACGTTATAATCATTACAATGAGCTTTCCTCTTCCTAACAGAGCAGCCCTGGCCGGCATACATTTAACATGAGCATGTGCCTGTGCTGGTACAGAGCTGGGCTGAGCGGGTGCTGTAGCCCCTACCTTTGAAGACTCATAGGTGATGGAATGGGTTGGGACGATAGGGACCTCTGTGGTGGAGATGCCACTGGAAAAGGAGGACTCTGCTGTGATGGTGACTGTCTGCGTCTGCACCAAGGGGGGCTGTGGATGGGAGCAAAGCCCATTGAGTGGCTGTTTAACAGACCTCTCAGTAAATTGGATCACACCATGCAAGCCACTCCCTCTGATCTATATTATAATGTATCCTTTCACTAAAGCATTTTTTCAAAAAACAGGCAATTCAAGAGTATTAATTAACAAAGAGGACAGGAAATTATATAGTATCATTCAGCAGTCAGTGATTTAGAATAGAAGAGGAAGGTCAAAGTTAATATGTCAAATATAGTTGCCCATCACCAAGTATTTTGCACACACCTGTACAGCATTGTATGGGAGTACTATCAAAGCCAAGTGTACTATGTTGTTTGTACTGTGGTTAGGCTCTGAAAAAGCTGCTGCAAAGGTGTGTTCAGGAATGGAATCCATTAATAATGAAGGGCCAAGCAGAGACAGAGTCACTCAGAGACTGGAGGCTACCTGAAAGCAGCGCATGACCTTGGGACCATCACTCCTGAAATAGGAGACAGGAGACGATCCAACTATTGTCCCAGAGCAGTCCTCCTCTGCAGGATGTGACTCTTGGAGCTCCCTCACATGTGCTGCATCTAACTCTTTACAGGGCAGCTGGGCCATTTCCACCTCCACAACAGGCACCAGAGACGTCTCAAAAACTACAACCACGTCTTGATCGCACAACTCGACTGCAGAGTCCTGCGATCTGTCAGGCTCACTCGTGTGGCTGACTGTGGGACTGGAGGCACCCGAAAAGCTCAACACACTCCTGGTTTCCTCCTGTGTAGTGTTTGTCCTAGACTCACTGCACTGAGGGCTATCACACACACTCTAAAACAAGACATAATACAGTAACAATGAAAGCTACAACCTATAATGGAAACATAAGACATTCATACACAAACGTTTTCAAAACATGACAGCTCTGATGTATATGCCTGATGTAATCTGATTCACATTAATGTAGGGATGTAATGTAAATGTAGATGAGAATGATATTTTTGACCCATGACAATGATCAAATACAAAATCAAATTCACATACTGGCATACATAATGTGTCAAATGACTGTACATACTTACGTATATGTATACGTGTGTGTGTCTATGTGGGACTATAATATATAACTGAATAATAAATTGAATTGAAAAAGTTGCTGTAAGATCCAATGTAGTGTATATGGAATGTCTTTTATTATTTGGTCACTGATTGATTGTCATGCAACAAGTACAAATATTATAAGAAGCTGCCCTAAGATATTATGACATTTGTTACTACACTATCACAATATTTTGAATACAAAACATTCAGGACCACAAAAGCTACACTTTAGGAATCAGAATTTTAAGCGTTGATAAACTGTGTAAAAAGTGACACCAAAAATGTAAAAAAAAAAAAAGTCCAGATGAGTTTAATTTTAGTCCCCGTAAACACTATAATTCAAGTCCAACAGTCTTTGTGGTATGAGGAAAAAGTGAAATAGCAGAAGAGAGGAAAACAGTGAAAGTCTATCCATGTAAAAGGCAGCTTCTGCAGGTGAGCAGAGGATGAGTGGAGGTGAGGATGCGACAGTGATGCTGAAGAGCGAAGGAGGGACAGAGGAAGAAGAAGCGAGTGGTTGATGGGTAGCAGACAAGGAGAGGTGATCCGCAGCTCACACCTTAGTGGGGTCTTCGCGACTGTCGGCCCCTCAGCTGCGCTTGGAGTAGAAGTCCAGCAGGGGGCCGCGAGGGAGACGGGTGACAAACTGAGGCGGGGAGAGAGATGACAGGGAGGACTTTTGAAATGGCTGACAGTGAACTACAACTTTTCAACAATAACTGCTTTATAATCAATAGGCGAGAGCATGGACACAATCATTAATAGGTTACTTGCTGTAGAAAGCATGGAAAGGGTTTAAGACATGCATTTTAACATGCAGTCCTTCTAATGACCGGAGCTGCTGTGAGAAGACAGAAGTTCATCCACAGGTGTCAATAAAAGCTGATTTGTCTGTTAGATGTAGTGCACAAAATATAAGGCAAGGATCAACGTATGAGCTACACAGAAGACTCAGACAATTTGATGGGTTTCAATACCACCATTTTAAAAAAAGTTTTCTTCTAGAGTTAATACCATGCCATAGGGCAATTAAGTTATTCTTAGCAGTTCCATCTAAAGCATGTGAACTAACTGCTACCAAGTAAAATAGCAGTGGGAAATATTAGCTGTGAATGAGGTCTTGTCTTTTTTATTCCAAAGAGAAAATGCCGAACAGGAAGTATGGAGGGATAAGAGGGAGGAGGAGGAGCAGTGAAGCAAGAGGAAGGATGCTGGGTCTGAACATGCAGAGGTCCAAATGTTCCTGAGTGTCATGCAGCAGGTGCTCTGGTGTGCTCTGGTCTAGTCTGATCTGGTCTGGTTCAGTCAGTCATGCAGTGTGGACAGGGCTCAGAGACATCTGACACAAGATGTCTCCCACACAGACTTCAGTGTGGTCAGTACTGTTTAGGTCCAGATGCATCTTTTATTCATGCATGCTTTGCATATCACAACATTATGCTTTGTACATGCAGACACATCCGTTTTTCAACAGCCTGACTATTATCAATACATTTAAATGTTTACTGCCATCATAATAAACAAGAATAGTTGACAAAAAATTTAGACAGTGACTAAATAAGCTGTAGCATTATTAAGAAACTGCAGAATAAAATATAGTGATGTGAAGCCACTAGTGAGACTTACCCCATCAGCTCCAGGCAGAGGCTGGCCGTTGACCCCCAGCGTTCGGAAAGGAGAGTGTGTGGACAAACGCTTGTCCCACTCACTGGGTCGCGACTCGGGCAGCGCCTCCATGAAGTTCCTCTTGAGCTCGCTGATGCTGGCATGGTGTCTGAGCAGGTCCTCCTGGGGTTTGTCAAACTCCTACATGATCCACAGCCGCAGAGGAGTGCAATGAAGGTCAAGATATGACAAGGGGGGAGGTAAAGTAAAAGGGAAAAATGGAGAAAAAGATGAAAATATCTTAGTTATGAAAGTGTTCTGTAATGTTATCAGATATTTTAATCTTGAAGCAGGTTATTGGCAACTTTTTTGCAAAGTGCTGACACGGTGCAGGTGTGATTGTCAGAATGTCTGTCCAGAATAACATTAGCAAAATGACTATTATTTGTAGTCAAATCTCTAATGTGTTATATTAAATTAGACAAGTCATTTGAGCACAGGCTCTAATCCAAGAGCAGCTGATGATTGCAGAGACAGACAAAGCATATGGCAAAACATAAATACAATTATATACACCACAAAAACAGCAATGTGGTATGTGCAGAAAAATAGATTTGTCTTTAGGGATAAGTTAGAGTTTATTACAGTTCATTAAATTACCAAATCAAAAAATTCTCAATTATCAGTTCATATCAATCAACCATAGAGCCAAACCTTTGCATTTGGGTGAGGAAGCAAAAGCAGAGACAGGAGAATACTGGTGATCCATTATAACATTCAGCAAACAAGAGTTAAAGTGATCAATATTCACCTGATACATCTGTAAAATGTAACTCACTCCTACATGTAAAATCAAAACACCTAATTTACCCATGATCCAACAGGAGTCTCCTGACACACAACTAACATGTTATATACAAAGCAATGAAGTCATGCAAAGTACAAATGCGGATCATGCAACATGCAGAGCGTGATATTATAGAGCAGCCAGTGAGCGAGAAGCAAAATTAACTCCAAACAGCTGCAGATGTTTCCAGAAGAGATACAAACCTCCAACATTAAAATGCTATGTCTGATATAAATTGAGTCACCCTCAATTCTCTTTGCCCTTCTCTGTGAAAATGAAAAGAACAAAACGTATGGGTTTGTTTCACATCAAAGTGCCCTAACGTAAACATGCAATCTATAAACAAGGCTATAATGTTAATAGAACAAGAGTTATGAAGAACATGCAAAGAGTAGACAGTGCTAACATAAGCAAATGATCCAGAGACTGAACTAGCTGAAATATTTAAATTCATAATAAGAAAAGAAACGGTGTCATAAACTAAAAAAGAAACTAAAAAAAGCACATCATGCCCAAAGTGAGTCTTGGTGGAGGATCATGCTTTTGCATTCTAGGTTTTACAACAACAGCAAGCAATGAGGAGACATTTGTAATTTAAACAGCTATACTTATATTACAGTAATTATTCCTGTTATAACAAATTCATATTTTCTTACAAATACACTGCAGATGGTGTCATTAAAGTTTTAGCTGTATGGGAGCACATGAAAAGACTTTGACCTAAGAGCTTAAAGGTGCACTAATATCTAATTTTTCTGGTGGAGGACCCGATACTTGTTTGCTTGTGATGTCAGTACTGTCAAGTTTTACACAGCATGGCATTAAGCATATCAAACTCCATGGTGACAAGAAGATGACTCCTCCAGGATGTTAAGATAGGTTTAATACCATACTGTGGAACATTCCAGGCAACGAAATCCCCAGACCCACCAGAAAAGGGACATAGTGGCCCTTTAAAAACAGAAAATGGAAGTGGGATTATGGACCACAAAAGCTGCCACACATCTCGGCCTCTGACCTGTCTCAATCGTACCACCTCGGAGCTCGCCACTTCTCTCTCGTGCTATCGCGGAAGGAGAGAGGGACACGTGTTAGCATCCTGTGCATTTGGCTTTGATATTGTAGTGACATAGCAAAGCCAAAGTCTACACAGCCATGCACCAGGCCACACTCAAAACTAACCTTCAGGTCCCCATTGACAGTGGTTATCAGGGCTGACTGTACTTCTCTACGGTCCCTCCATATTGGCTACAGAGTACACACAGTTCACATTCTCAGATAGAAATAAAATATTGTCTATAACAACGCTGATTACTGAAGACTTATGCTATGTGGATACATGAGGGAAATTATTTGGGGATAATAGCTCAAAAAATCAAGTATTAAGACAATACAAATAGTGTGTAGTCACAATAAATATTCACTTTCCAACTCGTCAAACTTGTTTTTTCAAACAGCGGGGATTTGTGATGAAAAAGAGCTTTACATATTCTTCAGATTAACCTGTAAAAATGACCGTATACAGATAATTGTTTAAGTTCATACCTTCACCTCGGACAGCGTCTCCATTTTAGTGATCTCCTCTGTCTCTACGGTAACCTCCAGACGCCTCTCATCCTGGCGGGTGCCCTTGATGGGGGTGGAGGTTTGGGGCTGGTCCAGAGGGGCCATGGGGATCCCTGCCTCAGCCAGAGCAGCCTGTGAGAACACTGGAGCACTGACAGGACGCGCGCCTCTTTGTGTGATCACCACTGCAAACAAGATAAATACATTTACACATAGGATTGAGGCAGCAGCATATTAGATTCACAGAAACATATTTAAGACAACTGAAACCCAAAGAGTTAGTCAAACAATGTTTAAAGATAGCTTCCATACTTACTGTGGGATGGCTGGATGCATTATGATGCATACTGTACCTGATATGAATTCTTCAATGGTTTAAAGGAACAATCAAGCATAATGAGAGTCAGCAAGATGCCACAAATGAGTACTCAAACAACAGGTTTGAGATAAAAGCAAAATAGTAGGCTGCAAAAACCAAAAGAATCTCTTAAAAGCTTTTACAAAAGTACAATTTTTTTTTTTTAAAGTGTAAAACGTACAAAAGCACTAGCCATAAATGAGTGAAGTTATTGCCACAGCCACAAAGTTGTCACTCCATATGATGTTGTTAGAGGTTTTTCCACTCTGGCTCAAAGCTCGTAGTGTTAGAAGCGCAGTCACAAACCCGTTAGTGATCAGATACCTGACTTCTTGAGGCCCCGTTCAAACAGAACAAACCAATCGTCACTTCTGTGAGAGGGGGGGCGTCTTTCCTTATGAACCCGCCTCTCAAACCGTGGACGAATCTCAGAAATGGTCACCTTCGTTTTAGTGGCAATTTTGCTTTCTTTGGTGGTAAACCGGACACGAGCAGGCGTAGATACTATATCAAGTAATTTGAATAAATTAGAAAGAAGAGACAGACAACTTAAGAGAAATGGATAACCTGAATATACCTGGTGCTTTTGCGATCTTGCTCAAGAGAATGTACCAATCATCAGCCACTTTTCTCACTGTAGCAGGAAGTCTTCTCCTTTCCATACTTGCTCTCTGCCACCTCATCTCTGTTACTCTTGCTGTCTGCTGTGCTCTGTGTACTTTGGTTACTGCTGTTTTGGTTGTTTTTATTTCACGGCCTGGTTTAGCCACTGCTGTAGGCCAGAAATACAGAAAACTCATCAATTCTTCACAGCTAATCATAACAATTTAAACTCAATTATAAACTACCTTTTATTTTAGATGTAACATCCATAAGGATGAACCAGTCATCATCGATCTTTCTTGGTAGTGATTTTTTTATCCTTGTTACTGTCACAAATTTCTTTGTATCATCATAAATCTGTTTTGACACAACAGCTCCAACCTCTGTGACAGCAGTTAACACAAAAAAGCAAGTTTAACAACACACAAGGACTCAGAGCCAATGGTCAAATATACATTAAAGGCCCATATTGCGCTATTTTCTGATCTATGTTATGATGTCATTTCCTCATCAAAAACATAGCTGGTTGTGTTTTGTTTTTGGTCACACATGTTTAACACACAAAATTCTTCTCTCAAATGGAAAACACTTTGTGATGTCATGTGGTAATACATTCTACTGTTTTTTACACCTTCACTAGATTCATTTGGATGATATCAGCCCTGGAATTTCCCATCTCTTCACTACAGACTCATAATAAAGGGCTTCTCAAACATGAGTAAATGAATCAAAACAGAACTTTGGGTATGTTTTTCATGAGGTAACAACATTATAACACAGCTTAAAACTCACAAGAGTAAATTCTGTGTAATATAGGACCTTTAACTTTAAGAAAAATAGTAATACCTTTTGTTTCTTGTACTTTGGTCACTACTGTTTTGGCTGTTCTTACTTCAGGGAAAAAACGAACTGATTTAGCCACAGCTGTAGGCCACAAATTATGAAGACAGGCAGAAAACTTAGCAATTAGCTACAGCAAATCACAACAGTTTGATATAATTTTAAACTACCTTTTAGTTTAGGCTCGACATCCAGTAGGACAAACCAGTCCTCATCGATCTTTCTTGGTAGTGATTTTTTTACCCTTGTTACTGACACTGGTGGCTTTACCTCATCATAAATTAGTTTGGCTTTTGGCACAACAGCTGCAACTTCTCTCACAATAGCTAACACAAAGAAGACATTTTAATAACACATGGGAGCTAATGGTCAAGTTTAAATCAACTTTGACAAAACGGGCAATACCTTTTGGCTTGGCGACAGGCTTGTAAGGGATGATGTCAAAAAGGACAAACCAATCATCTACTATCTCTCTTTCAGACTTGGCTCTGATTGGACGAGGTCTTCTCTCAAATGAACGTGTTTCAGCTTGTGTTTTGTCCACACCAATTATCAACTCCTGTACTTGGGTCTCTGTGGCTTCTATTTTCGAATCCAAAGTTTTTCTTATACCCACCGGAGGTTTAACAGGAAGCACTAGTGCCAGTAGATTGGATACAATCAGTGACACTTGTATAAAACAATAAATATAGCATAAATATAGTTTTATTAGAGATGCAACAATGTGAACTTGAGATATTGCAAGAAAATTGAGAAGTCTGGACTGGATCAAGTTAATTAACACAATCAATTAAAAGATGCCAAGCACTGTTTTGTTGCAGCAGTGCTCTGTAATAATAAGGGAACTACACAGATGATAGTCTTAAGCAAGGACCATGGTCTATGACAACATTTCAAAAGGTGCACTATGTAATTTTCCTGATGGAGGGTTTGTCACCTGCTCGTCTCTAAGGAGATGTTTGGATAAAGCTACGTGACAAAGTTACAAGTCAGACAGTGTTTATGCCATATTGTGGAACATTCCAGGACAAACAATAGCATATTCATAAAGATAAGTAGGGGGCAGGCCACCTATCAGATAAGTTACATAGTGCAAAGTGCACCTTAAAAGCTCATCATGGGTTTTTAGAATAAAAGAAGGAAAAAAATAAAATTAACCTCAGCACAATATCAAGATATATATAGTTTTGTGAGGCAATAACATTGCACCGTGAGGTTTGTGTATTGTTACATCCCTAATAGTAATTGTAATAACCACAAGCATGTACCTGTTGGGAGGATTAACCTTGATCTGGACTCAAACAGAACAAACCAGCCGTCCTCTCTCTGTGGCAGTGACTGAGAAGGCCTTGGTTTTATCTGCACTGCATCAGCCCTCTTCTCTGCCACTTTAACTTCAACTTCAACTTTAGGCTCAGGTTTTGGAAGTATTTGAGCAAGAGGCCCCACTAGTGAAACCACAAATGATTGTTTACAAATACAATCAACATATGGGCAAGTTATCATTAGTATACAGCACTGTGAAAGGTTTTTAGCATTATAAATGAATGAAATAGAAGAGTGCTCAAATGATTGAGAATAGTTCAGCCACAATGAAATGTTAATATTTGCTGCAAACCAAATGTACTCAATCCCCTTGGCAAATGTCATCATCATCAGATCATTTATATTACTTATCTACGATTACCTAATCTACCAACAAGAACTAAATATTGCACAAAGTCCTCCCAAATCTGATTTGGTAATATCCCTGTCTATCACATTATAACCTTTGCACAGTACTGCATTTGTGTCCAAAAATGTGGTGAATAATTGTACCTGTAGGTTTAAAGGAAGTTTCTTTGGGTGCAGCAACATAGGCCTGACCATAAGAAGTCACTGCTGCCACTGAGAAATAATGCAGCATTAGAACCAAATACTAATTTATAAAGCAAAGAAAATCGTACCATTCAAAAAGAGCTACCTGGTGCTCTGTATGGAGATGCTTTGGTAGCAACATCTAACAAAATAAACCAGTTATCCTCTCTTTGCTGGGCTGGTTGGGAGATTGTCTGCTCGTTTGTTTTAATCCTGGATGACCCCTTTTTCACAATTACACTCTCCTGCATTACAACCTTCTCTGAGGATACCAATGTCTCAAAAGAAATCTCTTCTCTGCGGTAGTCATCAACAGCAAGCTTGTCTATTTCAGTTACAGATTAATAATAAAATGATATAATTAGAAGGGGAAATTAAGATCAAACCAAAGATTTGTAGAGGATAATTTATAGTACCTGTTTTTTTGTCACTTTCAACCCCTATTACTTCTTCAACAATTTGAACTCTTGGCACATCTTTCTTTTCAGTCTCCCTCTCCATAACGTGCAGGAGAGAAGTAGCTAGTGCAAGAAAACATTTGTGCGATACTTAAAAACAATGCTATGTCAAAAATGCATGCAAATGCTTGACAGCTAAGCAGATGATTTTTGAGCAAAGCAAATGTTGGAGCCAAGAAGCAATGTCTGTACCTGGTAGTTTTTGGGGTACAATTCTTGGAACAACATCAAACAAGACAAACCAGTCATCAGCTCTCAGTACAGGGGACAGAGGGGACAGAGGGGACAGAGGGGTCTGCACAACTCTCCCCTCATCTTCAATTTTCATCTCTTCAACAAAAATTTCCTCTTTCTCCAAAATCTGTGGCTTTGATGAAACAATATCTGCATCGGTTTGCATCATTCTCATAGAGGAAACCACTACAAAAACAATTTACATGTTGGAAAAATCAGAGTTATTGTAAGAAACATGTTGATTGACAACGGCATACTGTACCTGGCTTGTAAACAGTCTTATGTGGAAGACGATCAAAAAGCTTAAACCAGACATCTTTATTGTCAGATTGGCTTGGTTTTGTAAAGCTACTAGCCCTCTCCTCAAGCACTTCTGTCCTCCTTATTATAGATGTTGTCTCAACTCTCCCTTTTGGCATATCTTTTATTTCAATTGTTTCATCCACAAGTGTCCCTATTTTCTTCATCCTTCTCTCCACCTGGTATGTTACAACAGCAGTGGTTCCAATATCTGACAGGCTAAGCTCCTTCTCCATATCTTCTCTCCACTCTTTTTCTATCTGACCAAGCTTTTCCCTCAAACTTTCCATACCTACGCTCTGGTCTCTAGATTCCATTAGGCCCTGCTGCAGCCTGGCCTTCTCTTCTTCAGACAGGAAATCTTTGAGAAATACCCTTTTAATTTCATCTTCCAGCTCATCCACATCTCCCTCTGTTTTCTTTGATGTTCGTATAATAGTTTTTAGTCGTATTTCGCCGTCTTTTTCCTCCTCCCTGAGCCTAACCACCTCTTCTTTTCCTAGCTCCTCCTCAATGACCTCCTGAAGTCTTTCCTGTAGCTCATCTACTTGTTGAAGTCGATCTTCTAAATCTCTCACTTCTTTCAGGCGTCTTTCTAAAACATCCACTTCCTTCAACGTATCCACTAAAGTGACTGTTTCCTGTCTCCTCTCAATCACTTCCTCAGTGGTTATTTCTACAGAGAGCTTTTCCCTTTGCTGGAGCTGGTCTAGAAGAAGCAAAATTGTGGGTAGAACATTATAATGTGCTGTTGGTTATTAACTAAAATGTGTTCTCATACACTTACATGAAATAGTGCCCCCTTTCAACACACTACTGCGGTCAAAGTACAAGAACCAGTCATCTGTCTGCTTTGGCACAGGTTGAAACAGCCTTTCTACAGAGTTCATCTTTGTCAAATTAAGTTCCACTGACAAATTGAGGTAAAAAAAAAATAAATTAAATACAATTTCATAGAGTTGCCAGAATTAAGTGACAGAAACAGCTGCCATTGAAAAATACCTGGCTGTGTAACCATAGTAAATGATGGCGTAAAAGGAAAAGGAGGGTGTCGATGGAGCAGTGTAGTCCATTCGTCCTTCCCTGGTCCTGGCTGCAGCAGCTCAGGCCACGTCTGACTGACTCCGAGGTCAGTCTGTACACTCTCCTCTGTCACTGTGGACAAATCATGTCATTAAGACATTATGTAATCAAGCTGAGGGAGCGGGGAAGCCCACATGGTGTTTAAGGCTCGTTTACCAGGCCATTTCAGTCCAGTAAAAGTATGTTAAAGCAACACTTGTAAAATGCATGCTATTTTTCAACACACAACTCAAGTGGAGAAGTTACAAAAGCATTAAGGCTATAATAGTCAGCCTTCTAGGCTCACATCAGATAGCTGCATGACAAAAGCATGCAGGTTATGCAAAACACAGCTTCATAAAAATGAGGTTTAAAGTGGCACTGCAAGCACAATGTTAAAACAATGTCAGGTTTTCACTCAGTCCACAGGACTAGAAGATCAAGGACTAGAAGATCAATCATGTTGCCCACAAATGAGAAGCACAAGCATTGAAGACAATGAAGCAGCTCAGTGACAAATGTTATAAGCCCAAACAAAGCAGAGGACAGTGGGGCAAGTTTGTTATACATTTCCACATAGCCTGAGTACCTGAGAGCCCAGGAGGAGACTGGACTCTGGTGGACTGCAGATAGTCTGACCAGTCATCCTCCTCACACCTGCCTGATACACAGAGCGAGCAAATGTGACGGTGCATACATCACATATGGACCCCTTTTTATTTTGAAAACAGCAGGAGCACTTGTATCCACACTGGGCACATACCTCCATCCAGGTTGCGGGACAGCCTCTTGCTGGCGGAGCGTGTGAAGCGAGGAGCAGGCCGGTCGATCATGGAGCTGGCCTGGCGGGTCTGAGTCTGAGTGCGTCCACTGTAACGAAACTTTGAACCCAACACAAGGAAGCGCCGAGAGGAAGGGGGCTCCACTGATGAAACTCTGAGAAAATAAAACATTAATTTGCTTTATTTTAACATATATCTGCAGTGCTACAGTGAACATCAACAATCCAGTACACACTACAGAGTATAGTTAAGCCTTAGGAGCCAATTATCTTAACCTCGGGTCAGATTAGCTGTGGTGTCAGGGTTAGGGTTAGGGTAATAAGCCATAGAAGTGACCGAGAGAGAAGGGCTTTACCTGAAGAAGGTGTGGTGCTCCACACAAACTTTCCACAGTTTCTTTGAGGCTTTATAATTTGGCAGCTTGAACCCAATGGTGCTCTCGTACTGTTCTTGCTGCAAGGAAACAAACCAATTTAGGGGGGGTAGGGGGGTAGGAATACTCAATCTAGTAGATAATTGATAACTCAATATAAGAAATATATGATTACAGATTAAATATTAAACCAGCAGAAAGTTTATTTACCTCTGATGCCCTGATCTTGATGAAGAAGCTGCTTCGTTTGTAGGAGATCTTCAGCACTTTAGGCCAAGGGAAACGATTGATCCTGAGTTTGTCCTTGTAAACCATGAGTCCACTGGCACAAACACCTAGTGTGATGTCAACACCTTCAAGATCCTGAAACAAGACGAGGAGAAGAGACTTTACCAGGTTCCACTGAATCGTTTATCTAACCTTCAAGGCAATATCAGAATATAGCCACCAGGGGGCAGACATTATGTTATGAAAGTTAATGGATTTCTTTAGTCTTTACAAGAAGAGATTATATAATATGTGTGTAACTCACATAATTGTGTAATCTAACTTGCATAATGTAATCTAACTTGCATCATGCAGCTAGTCTGCAAAAATAACGTATTACACATAAAATCAAAGTCTAGGTTACCTTAGCTTGATGAAGGTCCACTCCATACATGGCGAGTTTCTTGGCATTTTCTAGAAACAGCATGTCTGCCTGGGCTGGACTCATTGACCTACAACAGTTATATGAATTAGAGCTGTGTGATATATGACAATAACCACATCTTGTATTCAGAAGTCCCACCTGTATGTGCGGTGTAGCTCAATGACCTTGTCTTCCAGCTCTTTGGTCTGTCCAGGAGCCAGGTTCAGATCCTTCACATAGTCTGTCCCATGGACCTCAGGGTCATACTCTCCAAGCTCGGACTGAGCTGTGTAGGAGCCCAGTAAAGACAGAGTCACAAAGGAGCAGGGCAGAACCCCACGCAGGATGTCTTTCCTCAGCTGGAGACATAGACAGTACCTGCTCAAAGAAAATGCCATCAGCATGGATTTACAATGGGTTTGAGGTAGAAGACAAACAGAAGGCTGCAGTATAGAAACACTTAACCTGGTGAGATCCTCAGTGAGCTGGGCTGGGTCAGGGGGGTAAAACTTTACGTTGAATGTAAACTCATAAATGCCTCCTGGGGCCTGTTTTCGAAGTTCTTTTGTGAGGTCAACCCACGTCTAAAGTAAAGGAAGAGATATTAGAAATATTTTACTAACATATTTCTAATAACAGATGATTCATCAAATATATGAAACGAAGTGCTTTACCTTACTAGACGAGGATTCCCAATGTGCAAGACCAAAGTAATCTTTCTCCAATAGATTGAGGTGGTCACACACCTTAGTGAACAGCTCCTGGCCTTTAGCATGTTTCTGCACAAACAAACATAAATGTGAATTGTACAGACAATAGAATAAAACACATATACAGTAATGTCACAGCTGAATCCTCACATCGAGCTCACACTCAAACAGAGTGTCGTCCAGTAATGCGACTTTGCACTGCATGGTCTTCTGTCGGCCTTTGGCGCCTTTTGCCTCTTCTGTTTTCTTGTCTTTAGCAGGTTTCTTTGCCTGTGGTTTAGACTTTTTCTCTCCCTTCGATGTTTTCTCTTCAGCTTTTGCTGAAGGCTCAATCTTTTCGCCGTCCTCCTTCACTTCTTCTGTCCCTGCCTCCTCCTTTACTTCAGGATCCTCTTTGTCTTCCCCAGGAGCTTGCTATAAAAAAATAAATAAAAAAAATCTAAGAATAAATACATTTAGGGAAAATAGTTAGGTCATAGTTCATAAGGTCAAAATAACTCTAGTATAGGTTAAGGTTTTGTGTGAAAGTTTGGCAAGTTTGGAAAGGTGCACTTCTAGAAATATATATATAACCGGCCTATATAATTTATTGAAATCGATTTGCAAAATTTGTACATTGGGTATTTAGTTACATAAAAGTATATTTTTGCGCCTTTTGAGTAATTTTCTCTTTGCCAGCAATAATTAAACCTCAACCATAACAATGATTTCAGGCATGTTTTCAATATCGCCCACCACTAATTACATATAAATATGATATTGAAGATTATATGGAATTATTGACAGAGATAAGAAGGGCAAGAGAGAGCGGTGTGTAATATTACAGCCAAGTGTATATAGTACTACATATACAGTGTGTCTTACCTCTGCACTGCCGACAGAGCGCTGGTCTGGAGCTGGCTCAATGTCTGGTTCAGTTTTGAGCTCTGGTTCTGGATCTGCGATGGGCGCTTTGACCTGTTCTACAGCAGACCCCTTTTTACCCTTCTTGCCCTTGTCCTTTTTCTTCCCTTTTTCTTCTTCTTTCTTTGGTTTGTCAGTTTTCTGTTCGTCCTTTTTCACCTCCTCTTTTGACTTCTCTTCTTTCTTCTCAGTCTCTTCTTTTGGTTTTTCCTCTGGTTTCTTTTTCACCTCCTCTTTTTTAGTTTCTTCTTTTGTTTTTTCCTCTTCTTGCTTTTTTGTTTCCTCCTCTTTCTTCTTCTCCTCTTTTTTCTCCTCCTTTACTTTTTCCTCTTTCTTCTTCTCCTCTTTTGCTTTCTCCTCTTTCTTTTTGGCCTCCTTTGCCTTTTCCTCCTCCTTCTTGTTTTTCTCCTGCTCTTTCTTTTTAGCTTTCTCAGCCTCCCGTGCCTTCTCCTCTTCTTTTTTCTTTGCTTTCTCTTCTTCCTTCTTCTTTTCCTTTTCCTCCTTTTCCTTTTTCTTTGCCTCCTTTTTGTCGATCTTTACCTCCTTCTTAATCTCACTCTTTTTTGTTTCCTCTTTAGCAGGCCCTTCTTCTTCAGCTTCTACTTTTGTCTCTACTTTTTCTTCTACTTTTTCAGCAACTGTTTCCTCCTTTGCTTCTTCCTTCTCTGGTTTTACTTTTACCTCCTCTAGATTTACCTTTTCATCCTCTTTTCTTACATTTGCATCCTCTTTTTTTATGGTTGCATCCTCTTTTTTTAAGTTTGGAGCTTCTGTTTTGACCTTATCCTCTACTTTTTTCGTCTTGTCTTCACTTTTTTTCTTGACCTCTTTTTTCTTTTTCTTGCTGCTTTTCTTTTCAGTTTTTTCCACCTCTTTCTTCTTGTCTTCTGCAGGTTCTACCTTTTCCTCTTTTTTCTCTTCTTTCACCTCGGCCGCTGCCTCTTGTGCTTTGTTCTCCTTCTCTTCGTTTTTCTCTTCAGTCGTTTTTTCTTCTACTTTCTCAACTTTTGCCTCTATGTCAGCCTTGTCCTCCTTGGCTTTCTCCACCTCAAAGCCGTCTCCCTCTGAGCACTGTGAGCGTCGCTTGAGGAAATTGGAGAAGAGTTTGGACAGGCCTTTACCAGCAGAGGTCCTGGTGCGTGGTTTCAGTTGCTCCTCTTCGGGGGTGACTGCTGCCTCTGCGTGCCCAGGATCAGAGGCCTGCTCCTGGGCCTGGGCCTTGGCAGCGGAGGACTCCCCCTCCTCTGGCTCTGGGTTCTGTTTGTTCTCTGGTTCAGGTTCAGTGGGACTGGCTGTCTGCTTCCCCTCAGTGTCCGCTTCACTCAGAGCACTCGCCTCTGTCGTCATGGCAGCCACTGGAGGAGACAGAGGCAGAGAAGGTCAAACAAGCTAACACATAAACAAACAGGCAATGGTAGCAAGCAATAGTAATACAGTGCATTTGTTTATTGACCTTTATTTAACCAGGAAATGTATGTACACGTGGCATAAATGGGGCTTACAAAACTTGATAGAGGTGTACATTCTGATATATTTTGTTTATTTAATTCATAAATTACTCAGTTAATATTTTAAATGACAAGTGATTAGCCTAACTGTTAACCACAGATTTAATGTCACTGTGCATTTTATTTTCATTCACTAATTTCACAGCTTAACTTCAGGCAAGTTATACGCATCTGGGTACATTTTATTTGCCCTTGATTTTTTGTTTTGAGATGGTATTTTTCTTTGCATCATCATAATGAATTGGGTGTAATTTTTAGTAGTATATTTTGTATTTATTAATTATTCATGAGCTATTAATGAAGTAAAAATAATACTGACTTAAAAGTCTGTATCCAATTTAAATGTCTATTAAACTCTCTCTTCTTAAAATGCCACATACACGAACATTGTCAGCAATAACAATAGCAGTTTGTCATTGTCTATACTGACATATGACCGCAAACTCACAACACTGTCAATGAGAGACTCATTAAAGTCCACGCACACAAAGGGACCATTCTCCTCCTGAGCTGCCCATTAGCACTGCTCAGATCCACATCTCCCAGCATGCCTCGCTGCACGCCTCACGCCCCAACCTTCACAGGTCATCTGAGGCACTCAAAACACTGAGAGGTAGTACAGGAAAGTGGTTTAAAGTTATTACGCAGCTACAACATAAATGCAACTGCGAGTTAGGGAAAGTCAAGGAAAATACTGGGCGACTAAAGACATGACTGGGGCATCAATTAATTGACTAAAAGGGGGTGTGGTGGGGGCTAGCAAAAGCTCTCAAATTTGTTTAGCTCACACAAAAAAACAACTGTAAGTGAAAATGCTGCTATATTCAGTCACTTCCATGCATTCTCCACTCTGCTGTTCTCCATATTAATCCTTAAAATCACGAGTCAACTAAAAACAATAATTAGGAGCAAACAACTAAAGACATATGCATACAGCCCTACTATGAGAGATTTTGGAAGGCCTTTTAAATAATCAAATATTAAAGACACTATGTTAGCTACTTTAGATAGACTGTTGTAGCTTCAGTTGGACCAATTAACTAAAGCATCCTTTTTGTATAGTAGCATGCTAACGAATGGGACCTGATTTAATTGGTGACTAATATGGTTGCATTTGCCCTTCCATAAGTAGTTCAAGTCGCCTGGCTGTCACAGGGTGGGGGAGGGGCCTGAGACACAGACAGGCCAATCTTCCAGATGTACAGGGCTGTCCCAAAGGGTAAAGCTTGGCCTCCTCACTGCACACTTCCCACTGGTGGTACGGGACAGCAGGAGGAGGGGTGGGGGGTACACACACAAACCAAATCCTCTTTAGCCCTCCCATTGTTTGTGTCCAGTGACCAATAACTGTGCGACTCTCTCAACCTAATCCAGCGCACCCTTCCCCCCACAGACCCCCCCATAGATCTGTTGCCTGGGTCAGCACACACACACAAGTATGCCTCAGTGCCCATGGGCTCCTCTGGGCTGTTTAATGCTCTGTCATCTCAATTGTGATTGTCAGAAAACAGACATGCCCCTAATGGACCAGCTGAGGTTGGGTCTGCTGCCTCCTCCATTTTGTGTTTCCAAAGAACATCTCTGCTATCTGCCAGCTGAGCAGGACCGGCCCAGATCATCAGTAAATATGGCAGAGAAATGATAACCAGGCAAAATTAACCAATACATTACAGGCTTATTTTAAAATAAACATTTTATTTAAATAGGTTTCTCACTCTGAAATTGTGATCAAATGCTGCCTTGTTTGAAAGCACTGAGCAATTATGTTGATGGCAAACAAGACAGTCAGTGATGCTGTTGTGAAAGCATCTAAAATGTAGTGATGGAGTGAATGAGCCAGCATAGAACACAGTGAGGAGGTGTGGTATAAAAATAGGTCTTGTGCCCAGGATACATGGTCTCATTAGTTAGCATTTACAGCTCACATCTATTTTTGTTCAGAGCACTGCACATGCACGCACATTTGCACAGATCCATCTCTCCATGTTAAATTCACTCTGCCACAGCTGATGGGGAACATTAGTTTTGGGCCAATTCATGACTTGTTCTTTCACCCCCAGTGGAGTAACACAACACCTAAAATAGTGTAACCTTGTCGAACACTAAGAGGACACACAGAAACCACAGTTCCTGGATACAGAGAGTAGGATTAAGGAATTAGAAGGAGTTTAGAGTTAATCAGGTCCCAAGTGAGATTATCTTCATGTACCTGCCTGCAGTATCTACCATGGCTCTCCCTTCACTGCTCTGTTTGTAGCCTGTGCTGATTCATGGGTTTATGGGGTGCTCCGCCCACCTGGCTCCAAATCAACAGAAATGAACTCAGGGCCAGTATCAGTCCTCTGCACTATTAACCTCCCTAAATAAACACAAACACACATGCCAAAGCATAGGCTAACATGTGCACGCTAACAATCCTGCCTAGCAACCTCATCATAAGCATCCACAGTTTAGGTGATGTGATAAATGTCATATCATTGCTCAATTTTCAGTAAAACTAATGCACATTTAACTGTTGAGGCAAATAATAAGTCTGTATCTTAAGTGATCAAAGGGAGGAGCTTAGTCTTCAGACAGGTTTGTAAAACTATTCCAAACCAAGATCTGGAGAGATCAATACACGCAGATGGTCTGAGAGCTCAATGCTGAAACATGAACCGACTGGGGAAAAGAATGAAGTAGCTTCATTGATTTACTGCGGTCGGCCTGAAAGCAATTCAAAACCCATTTTCAATATCCTCACAGCCAAAGCCAATTGGAGTAATACTATCACACTGCTTCAACACACTGCAAAGAAAAGAGAGATCAGAGATATTGCTGAATGTGTTCTTAAATTTTGTATGTAAAGATGTAAAATAATACATGAAACTATATGACATATTATTAAATATATATGTAGGATATGATGGTTTGTTTGTCTGGCATTGGTGGTGGTAAAAAGAGCATAGAGATATGAATCTCTTGTACCAAACAGAGTAGTGATGTAGCTGCATGAATGCATCATAACTCCCAAAAGAGGATTAGCATCAGCCAGCTCCTCTGGGACCTGGGTGACCTCACTCTCACAACAACAAACATCCAAAACATCCTCCTTCAGCATCCCCGCCTCCACACCTCGAAATGTCAACAAAACAATTCAGCCCAAGTCTCACTACAGTGTAATGTTTACTCAACATCGTCATCAACTCAACTCATCCTTTCTATGTCACATCTGCGCTCTCCATAAAAGATTATCTTACTATATGCAGCAGTATCAATGGAGATGAGGCTTATTGGATGAGACTCCCAGAGATGCACAGCAGCAAAGTACACACAAGCACACACTGATTCTGCAAAGACATTCTGGAGATTTTGAATAATTAATATCCGTGGATAATTTGTGCCAACTCTGAATTAGTCGAACACAAATGTGACCAACAGTCTGCACTAATAATTACACTCCCACGAGCTTTTTGTCACCTCAGAGGTTGGGGGAGCACTGTGGTCACACTGGATACGTTGTTTTAAAGTTAGAAGCATCAGTCTGTAAAACTATCAGCTGGGCGCATGCAGCCTGAAACTAGACGGAACTAACTGCTGCCGTTTTACAATCAAGTCGAAATAATGTAGGCTGTGTTTCATTCTTTAAATTATGCAATTTCAGAACTTGAAGCCTATAAAACATGCCCCGGGCCAGAGTAACTTGCAACATTTCATAGAGAGCAGTAGACCACCTTTATCCATTCTTTTCATTCATGCACAACCAATCAGAGAACACATAAAACGACAACTTGTGATTGATGAGGAAGCTAAGCGAGACGGCTTTTGTTAAGCCCGGTTCAATAATGTTATAGATTCAGACAGACTCAATTCAATAAGGCTTACATACTTCTCAAACGTATGGCCGGATGCATTTTAACCAAACAGAAAAAATGTATAACTTTTTCAAATAAACCGCAAAACCACAAGGGGCTGGATTGGGCGAGCGAGCGTGCCAGGGTATTTAAACAATCTGTGAATGAAAATGGCGCCGAAAGAGCCGCAAAACAAATAAATAGCATCTCTTGCACTGGAGGAACATAGGCCACACATTCATCTTACCTATTCTAAGATTTGCATCAAAGTAGAAGAAAAAACACACAAAATCCGATAAAAGCGCGTATTCCGTATGTCGATGGGAGTCAGAGCGTAGCGGAGCGACACATGCTTTGTTGTGCTCAAGTGTCTGACGCTTGTAAAGGGGCGGAGCCTGTCGCGAGGCTCAGCTCGAGCCACGAACACGCCTCACAACCGCGTGCGCCGCGCGGAGCGGGACACATCCAACAACTGACAGGCTCTTTTCCTGCATAGGCCCAGAACCTATAGGTCTACACGACCATAGACAACATCAGCTCTTTATATGGCTGAACCTAAAATAAACAGGTCTTCGTTTAAAATGGACTAGCCCATAGGCCTACAGCAAGCATACGGGAGGCAAAGAAGGCATAGGCCTACAGTAATATAACAATGTCAACACAAGCGCAACATCCAGTGACTGAATCTGTAATCTCGCTTGAGCACGACTGCAAAATCACACCCAAAATTGTTGTGAATAGACAATTAAGTGAATCTGCCAATGCAGCTTCAATGAAAATGCCATAAAATGCCATTTTCTATAGGCTCTTTTTATGAACCCTGATTTGGGGTCCACCCTTCTGATTGACCTCATTACAGCCACATGGAGCACAGGGGGTGAGAAAGGTTTATTAGTCTCTCCAGTGTAAACACATGTGCTCTGATCATGTTGAGAAGTCTGTCAAAAATGATAAACATATTCTTACCCGTTTACAAGATATCTCCAAAAGAAAAAAAAAAAAAAAAAAAAAGGCTCCTAACAGCCAGGTGCAGTATCCATGGGACTCACACCCAGTGTACCACAGTAACAGTCGATTCACATTTTTGCTTTTAGACTTTAGACTTTCTGATCACAGAGCACACATCAGGCAAGATACAGGCTACCATGGTACTGTTAAACATTTACCACAGCTCTAGTAAGCGCTCAGAAAGGAGCTGTATTTGAATCCTTTCTGTCATGACAAAGTACAGGTCCATACTGAGGAAGAGTGAGGAGGTAAACAAAGAGGTTAGTGCCAGTTGCCTAGGAGCTCCTGCCCCATGCCTACTGCTGGAGCAGGTGTGAGGCTGGACCCCAGAGGAGAGCTCTGTCCCTGGGGACAGGGGCAGTCTGAACACAGACACACCCAACAACTGACGCATGTCTCTTTCTTCATCACTCTTTCTCATTACTCTTTCTCGTTTGTTCAAAGCAGATACAAACACGCATCACAGTGCAAAGCATTACTCCAGCTGAGTGCATGGGGTTATGTTTGTTTGGAACATCTTTATCCCTTTCTGGCTCCATCCCTCTGTGATTATATAACAGCCCAAGTGCTGCCATACAATTCATTTTGCTGTAGATTTTCAACACAAATTTATATACCACACTTCTAATTTAAATTCTCTATGAACGATCGAGGTCTTTTTATATGTGAATTTTAAGAAAATGCTAAGCTAGCTGCTGCTCAACACAGAACAAGACGTGCTGCAGAATTGATGGTAACTGCATAAATATTCATAGACCCCCATTATGTTATGAAGAATTTATGAACCACTCCTGCTTTTTCCCCAACCACTGCTGTTGCGCTCAGTTTTTTTTTTTTTTTTTATTGTTTTTGTTTTTGACAAACACATCTTATGTTCTCATGTCCTTATGGTCTTTCTAATTATAAAATACAAACAGTTTAACATAGATACAAGAAACACAAAGATCCACTTATTAATTAATTATAGGTTTTATCCGTCATCGGTCACATAGAGGATCACAGGAGATACTTTAAGATCCAGCATTTTCGCTTGATGCCATTTGTGAAAGAAACACTGAAGCAGGCGGTGCTAACCCCTAAGGCACTCACAACACAGAACAAATTAACTTGGACATTCTGGGCCACATAAGCGCATGCTACATTGTGTTTGATCATCCAGTCTAAATAACAAATTTCATTTGGTCTACACTGCCACCTACTGGAGAATAAACACGTCTTGCGTTTGGGAGACTTAACAGCCAATAGTGTTAATAGAAGGACTGTCTTACCACGTGATGCAGTAAATGACACATTTGGGGGCATATATCACGTGGAATAAGTGTATCTCTCAAGATTTTACTGACGGTGGAGCAGACAAGAGCAATGCATGCTGGGAGCATGTGTTTGGAGGAGATAACCTTAAGAAGAAGCAGTTCATCAACTCCTCCCAAAAATAGCCACAGTCTTAAGTGTTACAAAAGTAGCTTTGCAAAATGTATTATTACCATAGCAATTACTGAGTTAAAAGGATCTCTCTCTCTACCACACAACATGATATAAAATTGTAATTTAATGGTCAGTGGTGAAATGCAAAACGCCAGCATCCCTTATCCCTCATAATAAAGTCAGATACTCACATAATGTCCATGAAGGCCATAGCAGCAGCAGGAGCCCCAGATGTGACCAGGTCAAACAAAAAAAAACAACAAAAAACAACAACAACAACAAAACATAAAACAGGTCAGTGAAAATAACAATATTACAAAGATTTATAATATTTGAGCGGCCAAAACGGATGTCATGACAACAGTAGAATAAAAACATGTTTCCTTTATACCCCTTTAGAAGCTAAATTGGTTTACTGAGTGTAGACGGAATGACAGAAATGCTGACAGGTCGGCCTACTTTTAAGTTGTGATGTCAATTTTATGTTGTCATTACATAACATGGACAAAACTATCCTGTTTGTAAACAGTTTATTGAGTTATTAAATTTTGTGAGGATGTAGCAGGAATATCCCTCACACAGCCTACTGCAATTGAAAATAATCCTGCCAAGTGCGATGTCGTAAATTTAGAGACAACTAGACTACGTAAACCTGGATTTGCCCTTGACATGCAAATTTTTTTTATTGTTAATAGTTAAGTTTTCTTACCTGTGCCTACTACAGCCCTTCAGTGATTCTTCTCCTTTAGTTTGATAGGATTTTCTGGTGTGGCGTTCTCATCCTGAAGTTGCAGGTAATCGGCAGGTTTCCGACTGACGCAGTGACGCACCACAGTGACGAAGCTCCTGAGTGTTGGGTGGAGACCCGGTTAGTCCTCCGCCTTCTTACACTGCAAAAAAGGCCAAAAAGAAATATCTGGCAACACCTTGTATCAAATGCTGTTACTGTAGGCCTGTTAGTTAAACTTTTACATGGACAAATAGCCCATCCATGTCAATAAGGTCGCACATACAGTGGGCCAATGCTGTTAATGGTTTTGACCTTAATCACCTTTCTTTAAACGCTTAAGCTTGAACAGGTGTTCTTCACCTGTGGCTGCGCTTACTACAACCAAGCGGAATCATGGGATAGGTCAAATCGCGTAATTATAACAATACTCATAATTCCCCAGCGATATTTAATACATATTATCTATAGACCTACCACAACCCACTGTCTCCACTAGAGTGCGCTACTGAACTTCAGACACAGTTACAGCATGGCTCTTATACTTCTGAGTTAAGAGTTCTCAGGATCCTACAGTTTTCTTTTTGAGCTTTGAGTAACAGAACATCAGTAGGCTACATCGCCCTTTCAGATGTACAATTAACTATGCCTTGCATAACATAATGCTCTTGAAATCCCAAGAGGTCTCTTGTATCAGCTAGTCCTTAATACACAGAAAGTAATGGCACACAGATGATGACAAAGGGCCTGCAAGGGGGACCCCGCTTTATCAAGAAGTGCACCGAGGAAACACCCTTCTGAGTGATTAGTCTGACTGCACACTTCTGGAGTCTCCTCACTCTGAGATAAGGCCAACGGTCAGCATCTACACAAGGCAGCACATGCCCTCACAGCCGTGTGTAAAACACATTCTTCATAAACTTTCAGACTAATAATGCAGAGTAACCAAGGCAATTTACAACACTGTGTAGCCCAAGATGTGGACTCGGTTATAAACTAATCTGCCCAATAATACATAGATGTATTGGGATATGTATGAAAAAAACATATCAAGAAGCCTACCGACTGGCGGATGGGTCAGTGGTGTGAAAAAATTGACCAAAATGTGAAAGGCTGGCAACAACATAATCTTATTTACCACGCTCCTGGTAATGCAACGTTTACACAAGCAAGCAAGCTTGATGCTGTAGAAAAAGCATAAACACGTTTTGTTTGTTTTTTTGTCCAAAAAAAAAAAAAAAAAAAGGACAAAAAGTTGATTTATTTGTGTTATATGAGTCGACCAGAATCAGTAACCTGAAAGCAAAAGCAGAGGGGAACACCCACGTTTATTGTTATTGCACTCCCAACATTTAGGATCTGTCCCTAAAACTTCAGTTTCCACAGCTGTTATTCAAAGTTACCACGTAGAAACAGTAGGGTACTTCAGCGCTAGTCCCAACCTACCCGTAAGTTGGAGACACCCAACCACAACCTCCCATTGTACCAGGAAGCAACAGCGACGCGCTGGATGACGCGAGTCTTGTGTGGGAATATGACCTCCTCGGAACAAAAGTTATGACTGAAGTTAGACTATGGCCGATAAAGGTCCGTTTTTGACTGCATGTATTATTTTTTATTTATCCATTGGTGGCGCAATTTTTCAGATTCTTGAAGAGCCAAACTGGAATTCAGCAAAAGACGAGTATATACTTGACAAGAAAGATATCTTAAGAAAATACGATTGTTTGACCAAAGAAGCTCTAGATGACATTTTGGAGGTAGGTGTAAATCATAACTATACGGAAATGGATTTAATGAGAGCGCGCCATCTCGCATCAGATTTAATAGTTCACAAAATGTAACACTGAAGTCTGTAGGCGAGACCTTAATGAACACAAAAATGCCAAACAGTAGGCCATGCTTTTTGACTGAAGTGGCCATGGCAGCCAACACTTTTATTATTCACAACATTTCTTGGCTTCCGAAAACTGCAAAACCAGTTTTACTGGTGCAGGGGTGAAAACAAAGACCCAGATCTCAAGCCCTTGTGCCACAAGCGAAGTGTAATGTGATGTTAGATGTTAAATACACAAGTTAAATGCTTTGAGCTTTGAGCAAGAGTGCGCATGCCTAACCCTATCCTACCCACTTTAAATGTCTGAATTAGGTGTGTCATGTTGTTGCTCTGGTTTACAGGACAGAAAATCTTCCATCAAGAAAATTAATATACCCTACTTTGTTTTCTCTTTTTTTCAGATAGTTGCAAAAGCTGCAGGGCAAGGAGTGGCCATCACTGGGGACAGGCAGCCGGATTCATGGGACTGGGGAAACTCTGTCATATTTGCTGCTTCTATTGTCACCACCATAGGTTAGAGGAATTTCAGATTCCAAGAATCACTCAGTCTCAGTCTAGTATTGTTTCAATTTATAGCCTATTGTCATTACAACACACTGACAACACTTTCCTTCCCCATCTTCTTCTGTTGATCCAGGTTATGGAAATGTTGCACCAAAAACGGAGCGTGGCCGTGTGTTCTGCATATTGTACGGTTTGTGCGGCATCCCCCTGTGTCTGGTTTGGATTAGTCAGCTGGGCTCCTTCTTTGGAGATCGGGCAAGACGTTTGTCCCAGGTTATGATTCGCAAAGGGGTCTCAGTGGTAAGTTTTTGTTATATTAAGGACTATAGTTATATTCTTATGTATTCATATATATTCCTAATGCATATTGATATTGCAATACACTAACACCAAAAAGATGAGAAGCCTGGAGAAGTTCTGAGAAAAAAAAAAAAAACTGTAGAGTTTTCTATATTTTCTTTTACAACTTTTTTTTTGCCTTTTTTCTAAGTTTCATCGTTTAGGCAATAGTGATGGGCCTATTATAGTATTTTTCAATGATTTATTGTAAATGTATTTTTACAATGTACACGATTTCAACATTTATGTTATGACTGTGTTGCAGAAAAAGGTTCAGTTTACCTGCACAGTGTGCTTTCTGCTCTGGGGCCTTATTGTGCATTTGGTGATCCCTCCGTTCGTGTTCATGTCAGTGGAAGGATGGACTTATCTGGAAGGCCTGTACTTCTCTTTCATCACACTCACCACCGTTGGTTTTGGAGACTATGTTGCAGGCGTCAATCCCAACATCCAGTATCCGCGGCTGTACAGAGCGCTTGTTGAGGTGTGGATCTACATGGGGCTGGCTTGGCTCTCCCTCTTCTTCAGCTGGAATGTGCACATGGTCGTAGAGGCCCACAAAGTGTTGAGGAAACGCAGACATCGACATCGCCTCCACCATGAAGAGGAAAAACAACCAGAAGAAGAAAAACAAGTCCCAGAAATTAGGCCGACTGTCATAGATATCTTCAATTTTCTGTCTGAAACAAATGAGGATGACTACAACACTGTTATGAGGCAGATTGCAATAGAAGCAAAGAAACCCAAACCTCCAGAGAACATAAACCGGTCTAAAAGTTGCAGTGACATTTTGGACATCCAGACTCTTGAGGAGTCTCCACGACAGAAACGAAGGAAGAGCATAAGTGAGCTGTTTCTTAATGTACCACAGTCTGTAAAACCAAAAAAAGAGGCCAACAAGGACCTCAAGGAAGATGGTGAAAATAAAGATTTTAATGGCAAAGGTAACAATAATGAATCAGATATGGAAAATGAGGGCATATTTTTTACAGTGCCAACCATTATAGGGCCCTCAAAAACACAGAAGATACAATCTCCTAGTATTGGTGAGTCAAGGTTTATAATCAGTAAAGTAGCTGAAACTGAGTTGTTACTTAATAAAGAAGGAAAAGGATGACAATGTGAAATAAAGCAGGTGAATATAGTAACCATGATAAACCAAAGCAGTATGTTTGGTACCACTTGTATCCTGTGCCAACAATGTTTTAACTAGACATTTCAAATCTTTAGTTTACAGTTTCATTGCATGTTTCAGAAAATACAAGATCAACTAGAACTGTTAGTTTTATTTTATTTTTTGTTGCAAATTGTTTAAAAGTACTAAAATATGTATATCATGTTTTCTATAGATGTTTTAAATAAAATTTATTTTTATCAAGTTCTAAATATCTACAGTAATTATATACAGAAAACTTCACGGTATTTTTGGCTAATCAGGTCACAATAAATCCACAATTCAGGATTATAGGTAGCAGTTTTTTGCATTTACAGATCGCAGTATGTTTCCCTTACGGTTACATTTGTTGTGTGCTCAAGGACACACTAAGCAAGTGCTGACATGGTGATTTGTGAATAACGGAAACATGTTTATATTAAGTACAGCCTTTTATTACATCATACAACATATTTTTAAGAATTAACATCTAAAATGTGTAAATTACAAAAGCATCCATCCCAAACATTCTCTTTAAATGGTAATAGATCACACGTCACCAACCCCCACTTAACAATAATAACCGTTTTTAATATATATGCCCATTTGTCTGTCATAGTAGATCATTATATGCAAAAAAGGAACATCCTAATATGTCACACCAACCAAACCCCAAGACACAAAACTGTAGGTCCCTAACATGCATTTTGAAAAGCACATTCACTCAACTTCTCTTACAACCTGCATCTGTTTGCTGTTCATCTTATGTAGTGGTTGAATTTTGAAATAGAAATCTTTTACCTGAGTCACTTTGATTTAGCTTGATGAACAGGTTCACAGTCATTTGCACTACTTCAGATCACAGATCAATGCTTTATGAAACACAGTACCAATAAGAAGCTTGTTCCCATAAGGAGTTGCAACCGATGATCCCTGGAGGACTTTACCATCATCAGCGTACACCTGTTTTACCACTGGTTCATCAGAGAGAATGTTTTGGATTTGGATAACCTATGGACAAAAAGCAATTCAGTGTTCCTCAGGTTATAGAAAGTAGGACAAAGAAAGTAAAGTATTACTACTCACCTCTGATCCTGGTGTGTTATTGGCGTCATAGAAAAAGAGCTTCCATGCATTGGGATGACAACCTGACCACACGTCTCCAGTGTTGGGGTCCACCTCAAGGTTGTCGCAAAGAGATCCCACAGCCACACTCTGAAGTTACAATGACAAAAAATAGGTTGCATACATTATTAAATAAAGCTAGTGATACTTAAATCCTCAAATGTAGGGAGTAATATGACTTTATACTAGAAATTACAAAACACGATTAGACTGCAAAGTTGCAAACAAGTGAGATCAATTGTCAGAGTGGCTGTAGTATTTAAGTAAATCTTTAGTCTTTTTATCAACTTTGTTATACATTACTGCATCCAATACTATGCCTGGGCTGAAATAAATGGGTAACTTCTGCTGCTGACATCTGAACATGCAATAATTATCCAACAGGAGCCTGTCACCATTAACCTGGTTATCCAGGTGGTTGATGTGGGAGTGTAATAGTATTTACTTTCACAAACGCCAATCCATTATCTTCCTTCCTCTCCAAAACATGCACATTATGATCAGCCATATCAGCTACATACACATATCTGTAAAGTGAATAAAACAGACTTGTAATTAATAGCAGTCAAAGGACGTGGTGTTTGTTTTTACTTAACTTTCAAAAATTCAGTATATACTTTTGGTCTGGTGACACATTGATGCCATTTGCAAAGTAATATCCATCAGAGACAACTTTCACTTCTTCAGGACTGTAGTATACAACAGTGGTCCAGGGCTGTAATAAAATCAGCTCCACGATACCTTTCATAAACTCATTCACAAAATACTGGTCAATGGTGGCATAGAAGCTTTCCACTCCAACAGCAACAATATCATTGACACTAGAAAGTGAAAATCAGATCATACTTCATATTATTAAATAGATGTAGGATGTCACAATTATAATTTGAGTAATATTACAATTACTATGACGCAAAACATAATTCCAATATTCCCTTTCATTCCTATTGTCAAATACGTCTCTATTCCTCTACTATGTCACCAGTTATGAAACTTCATAAATCAAATAAGTTAATGTGACACACATTTTAAAAGTTTACATTTGGGTTTATTTTTCTGGAGTGTAGATTGAACTGAAATTACTTAGTTTGGTTTGCACTGTTGTTTTTAGGTCTCAATATTGGCTAATCATGATTAACCAAATAGTGTTAACAACCCATCATGTGGTATTCTCATTTACCTATGCAGAAGTTCATGTTTGATTGTTTTCAAGTGTACAAGAGAGTAGTCCTCCTCCACAAATTTAAACCGCTCTATTTGCGTTTTGTGCTCTGGGTGACTGACAACAAATAGATACACTGTGCCATCTGCAAGAACACATAGTTTACAGTGAGAAAAACATACCACATTTTATTATTTCTGGATGCAAAAGTATTTTACCATTTGGATCGGTGTATACACTTATGCCGTGAGGGTTAAATGACTCCAAATCAAAGTTCCTCGGCATTCGTAGCTCTATTGGTTTAATTCTTGTTTCGTTAAAATCCAAAACATATATTTTTCCCACCACAGTGTCCAAGATGGGCATGCCAGGGTACCTGAGACCCTAGTGAATAATAGAAATGCATGCAGTGATAGTGTCTATCAAAGAAACAAACATTAATTGCAAAATTACAACACATAGGCTACAAAATTTGCCAAATTTAATAATAATAATTATATGATAATTATATGACATCACATCTGATATGTCAGTAGGCTGTCTCGATAACTGGCCTGTATGGTGCATTTTAATCCTTACCACATAAAAAATGCAAATAAACAACCTCCAAGAGTTGGGACACACCTAAAGCCTCCTACTGAATTTTGTCAAGCCCATAACCCTAGGCCTATCGCTCCTGTGCCCTAAACTGGTCAGTCCAGTCCAGTTCCATGATGTTGGCAAAATGGTTTAGATCAGGCGTCCCAAACTCGCGGGCCGAGGGCTAACTGCAGCCCGCGGAATGATTTTGCGGCCCCCTACTTGATGTCAAAGTTTAGTGCTTCCTGCGGTAGGGGGCCACACTGACAGACAAAGCTGCAGATCAGCACCCCTGCAGTTTTACATAAGCAGATTTGCGCACCTTACATTCCAAACTCAACTTTCAGCAGTTGTGATGCTATGAGTCCAGGTGGATCTGTTTATGCGTGTGCACATGCACATAAGACAGCACTGAAGAACCTAAACAACTTTCACTTGCTAGTACATGTGCTTCTGCTTGCGCCTTGCACCATTTTGCTCTTGCATCCATGATATCAGTGCAGAAAGTATTACAGGCCTTGCCTACAGCGCAACGGAGGTGCAGACAAAAATCCCTCATTCATAAGTATGGGACACTTGGGACTGATAAGTAATAAACAGGTCACAGACAGCCGGTTACGTGCTCAATGCAGCCCCTTCTCTGGGCGTAATTGGCTGGCAAGACAAAGACCATGCTCCATCCAGCAAAAATCCTACCTCATGAGTTTAATGAATGGAGCGCACTGCAGGGTATTCACATTCAGATCACATGGCCCTGACCTGTGGGGTGCCTCAGGGGTCAATCCAGGGCCCCCTGTTGTTCAATCTCTACATGCTGCCATTAGGTCAGTTAATAAGCAGCAATAACGTGTCCTACCACAATTATGCAGATGACACTCAGATCTACGTCTCTCTGGCAGCAGGAGACTATGGACCAGTGGACTCACTTGGTCACTGCATCCAACAGATCAGTGTGTGGATGCAAAACAACTTTCTCCAGCTAAACTCTGACAAGACTGAAGTCATAGTGTTTGGTCCACAGAAACAAAGGGACAGTGTCAGCAGTCACCTCCAGTCTCTCTCTCTAAAACCTTCAAATCAGGCAAGAAATCTAGGGGTAATAATGGACTCAGACTTGAACTTTAACAGCCACATCAAATCAATAACATCTGCAGCCTTTTACCATCTAAAAAACATAGCAAAAATCAAAGGTTTACAGTCTAAAGTAGACTTGGAGAAACTTATCAATGCGTTTGTCTCCAGTAGGTTACACTACTGTAATGGTCTGCTCACTGGTCTCTCCAAACGAGCTGTGAGACGCTGCAGAACATCCAGAACGCTGCAGCTCGGGTCCTTACTCGAACTAGGAAGTATGAGCACATTAGTCCTGTGCTCAGGTCTCTGTACTGGCTTCCTGTGCTTCAGAGAATAGACTTTAAAGCAGCTCTGCTTGTGTACAAGTCTCTCCATGGCCGAGCACCAAAGTCCATCTGTGACATGTTAGTGTCATATGAACCATCTCACACTCTGAGGAGCTCAGGGACCGGCCTCCTGCTGGTGCCCAGAGTCACGACTAAACAAGGGGAGTCAACGTTTCAGGTTCATGCAGCTAAAACCTGGAACAGTCTTCCTGAACATGTGAGACAGACTCTTCTGTGACGCTGTTTAAATCCAGGCTCAAAACATTTCTGTTTAACTGTGCATATAACTGAAAGGTTTTCATTCCGCACTCTTCTCTCCAATTTATGTCTCTCTTTTTAATTTTAATATGTTTTGATTTGTTTTTATTAGGATTTTAATGTATTTCTTATTCTGTAAAGCACTTTGAATTACTTTGTGTACGAATTGTGCTATACAAATAAACTTGCCTTGCTTTGCCTTGCCTTGCCTTCACGGAGGCACACACGACACCGTAGCTATTTCACAACAGTGCAGGTGCTCACGTTTCACGACTGCGCCCTAAACAAACTCAAAGGGACAAACAGCACTCACGTTTTAACAGTTTTACATGTGTCCAAACAAAGCGCGGTGTCACATCTTACCGGTAAAATAGAAGAAATGAAGAAATAGTATGCAGTGTGAAACTTAGATCCACTCGAAAACACATCCAGTCCTTTACAGTGCCTCAAAGTCAAAGTGCATAATAATAAATCCACATCTTTTCAGTATGTAGTGTCCGCATAAAATATAAGCCAAACAGATAACAAGAACCAAACTCCTGGTCCTGGTAAAAGCGTAATTTCCAAATAAATATGGTAATATCCAGTGTGGAGTAGTCTGCATAAAGATGCAGCCAAACACATATAGTTGAAGTCAAACTGATAATATGAACCAAAACTCCGCCAAAATCCCCCTACTCGTCGAACCTGGTAAAAACGCAATTCACAAACATGGTGTATACAGTATATTCACTGTGGCACCGTGAGTATAAAGACGCAACCAAACCAGTGCGTGTAAGTTCTCCATAGTCCTCTTCCTCCATCCAGTTAACGGCGCAGTAAAATCGTGAAGTGAATTTATCAAAACAAAGAGCACGTGCTTCGTGCGCTGCCTTTGATAGAGGTATACAAGAAAACAAAAGAGAAACTTAAGCTCGTGAAAGTCCACAGGAGGATCAGCTGTGTGCTCTGGTTCATTTGCATGCACATTTGTATGGAGTTATAACTGAACATCTATAGTAGCCTACTCTGTTTTAAAATAGGAATTAACATAGTTATAAAGTAATTCAAAGATTGAAAAGTACTTTATTAATAATATTGGTCTTTCATTTCCATAAAAAAAATACAGGCACCGAAAAAAAGAACCGGTTCAGGAACTGGTATCGAAAAGCAGGTATCGTTAAAGTACTGGTATAGAAAAAAATCTAATGGTATGCGGGAGGGACAGGAAGCTGTTCTCCACCATGAACTTTAGTAAGTCCAAATACAGGTCCAAATTCAGTGATGAACATCTTCAAACTATACTAAGGATCTCATTTATTTCCTCCTGTAAGCCAAATATCTCAGCAAGAGAGGAGGCAGGCAGCAAGAGGTAGCCTGAAAGAAGTAGAAGTAGTAGTAGTAGTTTAAATTTATATTCTGAAGAAATGTTCATGTTCTGAACTGTCTTATTAAAGATTGAGAAGACTGGAGAAGACTGTGATTTTCTGTTTATTTACTTAAAATCATATTTTGTCTAATAGCTTACTTGATGCGACCCAGCCTCACCCAGACTTTTACCTCTAGTGGCCCCCAGGTAATAAATTCTTACCGAGCTGATAAAAGCAAGGCCGTTCCTAAGTATCGTGATGTCCTCAGAGCCATGATCTGATGAGAATTTAATTTACATTTTTAGAGTTCAGTATTGAGTGTCTAAGTTATATAATTACTTACTCAAGTTTGGAAGGAAAACACAGTTGGGAAGATGGTTTGTCTCAAGTTCCTGGGTGGCCTGGAACCTTTTCCTGCAGTAATAAAAGATAAAATAAGGACAAGTGACCAATAGAACTTTATGTAGTCCACCGCACAAGCCGAAAGAAACCGTGCACGAGTCTAAGCATTACCTTAGATTGGCAATTCTTTCTCCGAGAAACACTGCTATGGCAGCAATTAAAAGCGAAATAAAGCCAACTTTGCCCATTTCAAAACTGAAAAACCTCGTGCAGCAGTTCGACTTTGGAGCACTCGACACCGAGGAGTACCCGCTGCGCGCCCCGGCAGTGCTCTAGCAGGTGCGGCCTCTGGTGCCTTCACCACTGCCGGACTTTAAAAAAAAATAAATAAAAAGATCCTTAGGTTCGTAGCTTTCTTAAGATTAAAAAAAAGTACAATAATAGAAATGCGGATGAAATTAGGTAAAACAAGGAAAAACAAAGCCTAAAAAGGAAATATGCTTACCTTAAAGCTGTGTGTTCACCTGTTCAAAGACAAGGGCAGGGGTTCGGGACTGAAATGTAATTTTAACATTTGAAATAAGTGGAACTTAGAAACGGGTCTAAACAAAAGGTTAACGAACCACAGGATTCTTGACTATATCTAACTGTGAGATGATATTTGGACCACCCCTCAAATTTTCAAGGATTTTTATTTCTCTTGATTTTCTTTTTCTTGACAGTCTCTTCCAAGGCTGGATTATCCATACTGAACAGTGGCACAATGCCCAGGAGCATCAACCATTCACAACTAGTGGGGGATAAATTGATGTTATTCATTTGAAAATGTTAAATGGCCATACATAACTCATCATTAACACTAATTTCATAATAACAATATCAAGATTACCAAAAAAGATGACCATTCATTCTCCATTATTTATAAATGCCCTTGTTGATGTGTACTATTTTTGACAGAAAGATGGGAGCAAGGTGTATGCATGCGTGTATCGGGTGGGGGAGGGGGATTTACCTGGTAAGGTTAGCTGTGAGGTATAGTGCCTTAGTATCTACAGAAATTATTTACAGAAAACTTAACAGTATTTTTGGCTAATCAGGTCACAATAAATCCACAATTCAGGATTATAGGTAGCAGTTTTTTGCATTTACAGATCGCAGTATGTTTCCCTTACAGTTACATTTGTTGTGTGCTCAAGGACACACTAAGCAAGTGCTGACATGGTGATTTGTGAATAACGGAAACATGTTTATATTAAGTACAGCCTTTTATTACATCATACAACATATTTTTAAGAATTAACATCTAAAATGTGTAAATTACAAAAGCATCCATCCCAAACATTCTCTTTAAATGGTAACAGATCACACGTCACCAACCCCCACTTAACAATAATAACCGTTTTTAATATATATGCCCATTTGTCTGTCACAGTAGATCATTATATGCAAAAAAGGAACATCCTAACATGTCACACCAACCAAACCCCAAGACACAAAACTGTAGGTCCCTAACATGCATTTTGAAAAGCACATTCACTCAACTTCTCTTACAACCTGCATCTGTTTGCTGTTCATCTTATGTAGTGGTTGAATTTTGAAATAGAAATCTTTTACCTGAGTCACTTTGATTTAGCTTGATGAACAGGTTCACAGTCATTTGCACTACTTCAGATCACAGATCAATGCTTTATGAAACACAGTACCAATAAGAAGCTTGTTCCCATAAGGAGTTGCAACCGATGATCCCTGGAGGACTTTACCATCATCAGCGTACACCTGTTTTACCACTGGTTCATCAGAGAGAATGTTTTGGATTTGGATAACCTATGGACAAAAAGCAATTCAGTGTTCCTCAGGTTATAGAAAGTAAGACAAAGAAAGTAAAGTATTACTACTCACCTCTGATCCTGGTGGGTTATTGGCATCATAAAGAAAGAGCTTCCATGCATTGGGATGACAACCTGACCACACGTCTCCAGTGTTGGGGTCCACCTCAAGGTTGTCGCAAAGAGATCCCACAGCCACACTCTGAAGTTACATTGACAAAAAATAGGTTGCATACATTATTAAATAAAGCTAGTGATACTTAAATCCTCAAATGTAGGGAGTAATATGACTTTATACTAGGAATTACAAAACATGATTAGACTGCAAAGCTGTAAACAAGTGAGATCAATTGTCAGAGTGGCTGTAGTATTTAAGTAAATCTTTAGTCTTTTTATCAACTTTGTTATACATTACTGCATCCAATACTACACTGCCTGGGCTGAAATAAATGGGTAACTTCTGCTGCTGACATCTGAACATGCAATAATTATCCAACAGGAGCCTGTCACCATTAACCTGGTTATCCAGGTAGTTGATGTGGGAGTGTAATAGTACTTACTTTCACAAACGCCAATCCATTATCTTCCTTCCTCTCCAAAACATGCACATTATGATCAAATATATCAGCTACATACACATATCTGTAACATGAATAAAACAGACTTGTAATTAATAGCAGTCAAAGGACGTGGTGTTTGTTTTTACTTAACTTAAAAAATTTCAGTATATACTTTTGGTCTGGTGACACATTGATGCCATTTGCAAAGTAATATCCATCAGAGACAACTTTCACTTCTTCGGGACTGTAGTATACAACGTTGGTCCAGGGCTGTAACAGAATTACCTCCACGGTGCTTTTCATAAACTCATTCACAAAATAGTGGTCATTGGTGGCATAGAAGCTTTCCACTCCGACGGCAACAATATCATTGACACTAGAAAGTGAAAATCAGATCTTACTTCATATTATTAAATAGTTGTAAATTTAACAAGAATTTTAATTACTCAGTTTAGTTTGCACTGTTGTTTTTAGGTCTTAAGATTATATTGTGACTATAAATACGCTAATCATAATTAACCAAATAGTGTTAACAACCCATCATGTGGTATTCTCATTTACCTGTACAGAAGTTCATGTTTGATTGTTTTCAAGTGTACAAGAGAGTAGTCCTCCTCCACAAATTTAAACAGCTCTATTTGCGTTTTGTGCTCTGGGTGACTAACAACAAATAGATACACTGTGCCATCTGCAAGAACACATAGTTTACAGCGAGAAAAATAAAACAGACATACCACATTTTATTATTTCTGGATGCAAAAGTATTTTACCATTTGGATCGGTGTATACACTTATGCCGTGAGGGTTAAATGACTCCAAATCAAAGTTCCTCGGCATTCGTAGCTCTATTGGTTTAATTCTTGGTTCGTCAAGATTCAAAACATATATTTTTCCCACCACAGTGTCTAAGATGGGCATGCCAGGGTACCTGAGACCCTAGTGAATAATAGAAATGCATGCAGTGATAGTGTCTATCAAAGAAAGTTCTCAAACATTAATTGTAAATTTACAACAATATCTGTCATATTGAATGATGAACCCATTATGTTATATGACATCACATCTGATATGTCAGTAGGCTTTCTCAACACGGTTTCTCATGCAGTCTGGATAGGTGGCCTGCATGGAGCATTTTAATCCTGACCACGTAAATAAACAAATAAATAACCTCCAAGAGATGGGACACACCTATATTAGTCTCCTATTTAACCAAGTCCAAATCAAGCCCTTAACACTAGGCCTCGCGCTACTGCGCCCTAAACTGCTCAGTCCGGTCCAAAATGGTTCAGATTCTGCTGATTAGATTTTTCCAGTAGCTGCTTTAAAATTCTTACCGAGCTGATAAAAGCAAGGCCGTTCCCAAGTATCGTGATATCCTCGGAGCCATCGTCTGATAAGAGTTGAATTTACATTTTTAGCATTCACTTCTTGAGAGTCTAAGTTATAGAACTACTTACTCAAGTTTGGAAGCAAAACACAGTTGGGGAGGTGGTTCGTCTCAAGTTCCCGGGTGGCGAGCGACCTTTTCCTGCAGTAATAAGAGGTGAAATAAGGACGAATAAAACTTGATGTAGTCTGCCACTCATGTCGAAAGAAACCGTGCACGAGTTTGTGCATTACCTTAGATTGACAATTCTTTCTCCGAGAAACACTGCTATGGCAGCGATTAAAAGCGAGATAAAGCCAACTTTGCCCATTTCAAAACTGAAAAACTTCGTGCAGGAGTTCAATTTAGGAGCACTCACCGCGCTGCTGCTGGAACCGACACCGAGGCGTGCCCGCTGCGTGCCCCGGCAGTGCTCTAGCAGGCGCGGCCTCTGGTGCCTTCACAACTGTCGGACTAAAAAAAAAATCCTTTGGTTTGTAACTTTCTTAAAATAATAATAATGAATGATAATAATCAATGGTGTACAAGAACACAATATTTTACTTAACTATAAATTAGGGGGGAAAAACAACACACGTAGATTAATGTCAGAATATCTGCAAATTGTCCAAAAATTCACTCCCACTCAGCCAGTGCTTTAAGCACACATCAAAACTTGAATCAGAGTGTTTGCTTCCACACACAGACTGAATATGCTTCCACATGATGGACTTTATTGTAATCACTCTACACGCCACTATGTATCAATATGTACCAACTGTGTAAAAAAGTATTTTGCATAATTATGCATAAGTTCCTCTCCCGCTCAGGTACAGCTGTAAAACCATTTTACAAGACTGTTACAAATGTACATTCACTCACGGGCAACTTTAAACGTTTTGGGCGCCGAAACACATCTTATTATTTCACAAACACCAAAGGAGTTTGTTTTATAAGCACTATCCAATGTTGCTTTTAACTTATTCGGACACGCAAACAGAGGGTATGCAATAACATGTCCTTCCTACAAAACCCTGTTTAAATTGTTTATTTTTGAAGTTGCTTTTGAAGTTGATGAGTCTTTCCAACATAAAACAAAAGTTACAAAATTGTCTATGTAATCAAAATCATGTGTAAGAGACTTCATAAAAAACAAACATGAACACATACATACACATACAGAAGTGAAAGAAACATAAAATTGGCAAACTATTGACCCTGTGATACTCAGCGTTGGGTGCATGCAACCTGACAGTAACTGTAGAATATCTACAAAGTCCAATTAATGAATGATAGCATCTAACAACTTCAAAACACCAACATCTGCTGCATTGTTACATCATGTGCAACCATTGAGCACTGTAGGCAGGGCACACCACACTCCGGACTCAAGTTTGTGAAGTTGTGTTTAGGTTCACAGTGTAATACAGCAGGATCCCCATCAAACAGTTTCAAGCAAGACTGTATATTTGGAACATACAAAATAAATTTTATTATCCATTCTCTTCATGTCTACATCTTATTAGAATTTCTCGACAATAGCATTGTCAAATACACACCCAAATTAATTCTAATAATCCTGACAGGCGCAACAATACATTTCTGTCAAGTCCAGGTGTCAAAATAACTGAATGTGAAAAGCAATTTAAATCTTCTTTGTTATTTTCAACATAAAAAGGGGAGCCATGGCCCTAGGCCACAGTGGGGCTAGGCAGGCATGGCCATGAGCACACAGACACAGGGAGAGGCTTCAGGGCTGAGCCCCAGTGGCTGCAGGGACCTGTGTGGCCAGAGTGTTGGGGGCAGAGATGACCGGGGATCCAGCAATGTTAGCCATTGGCTGTGCAGAGGACATTGAGGTGATGCCTGAAAGAGACACAGATGCAGTGTGGATTAAAAAGGTTTGAGGCAACTGTTATAAATGTAGGTATTTTCTCTGAGCTTACCA